TTCATTGGGAGGCGAGCGCTCTATCCCCTAAACCACCACAGCTCAGTGTATCAACTACTAAGAAGGGTAGAGATGGAAATATCAAATCATGATTGACTACCGAAGAAAAACAGACAAACTAAAAAGGCATTTGTTAGAAATACCGCAAAGTTTCATCAAAAAATCAAACAGGTTTTAATTTTTTCAGTTCCACTTTTCTCCTTGCGATCGGTTAAAGTCCGTAAGCGTTTTCGTTTTTGTCCTTGCTCAAATATTACCTTGAAACCAACCAGTCATCGCTGGTATTCGAATCCGGGTCACCCCGTTGGGAAGCGAGAGCTCTATTCCATGAGCTACCACGACTCAGTGTACAACTATTGATAAAAGGAAATCACAGGCATCTCTCTTAACTTTAAGAATCTGTTTTTAACTCTTTTAAATGGACAGTTCATCATCTGAATTGAACAGTACCAAAACACAATACATTTTCAAGACAAACTGCTGTCTACTTTTGTTTGTAACAGGTTTTCTACCAATGAACATTTGAAAAAAAAAATTAAAGAACGAAGGAGTTAAGTATGCATGGTTTGCTGTATTCTGCCTAGATTACCAACTATTCATTCGAAGAAAATTTCGAAGATAGTTACGAAATTCGTCAATAAATACATGCTTTTTGCTACAGGTCAAAACATTCAGACGGAGATCAGCCGAGTACATTTTAAATTTATCCTCAGACATCCAAAAACGTTGTTGCTACAAACGCAGGTAATTTCGAAAATATAGTTTTATAATTTTGTTAACCACCATCTGTTGATACTGGTAATAAATTAACTGGTTTCCTAAACAGAACGCAGCACCGTTTTTCAAAATGGCCATTTTTAGAACATCCGTTTTACTGCATCTAATAATCAAGTATCGAGCCCTTTAAGCATGTTTTGGAAATTTTGAGCCCCATGCCACCCTTGTCGGCAAAAATAAGCAAATCACAAACCTCCATCCCATATTTTCAGCCGCAACGAACCCTTTGTGTTAAATTGGACTTTTATTGTAGTTACCTAATTTAAAGATTAAATTCTTATAAAAAATGTAACTTAACAAAAATTAAAATTTACGTTATTCCCTTTTGTAAAATTTTTAATACAATATTATTTATAGAAATAATTAGTCTTTTCTTTCCATGCTTAAGCACATTTTCGGCTTAATCTACAAATAACCTCTGAATTACTACACCGCTGTAACTCCTTGAAGAAGAAAAAAAAATCTACTTTTTCTTTCCTCAGATTTAACTTTCACTTCAATTACGAAATTTCTCCAAGAGTAATTTTTTTTGTTGTAGGTTTCAGTTAATTGTTTCATTAAAAAAAAAACAAAGAAAAAAAATAGTGCGTGGAGTCCCTCCGCGCGGAAGAAGTTAAACTTTGTAACCTGCGACGTTAATTGTAGAAGAATCAGCAGTCATAGAAGGATCACTAGTTCTATTCAACGACTCTTTTTTCTGCTCCGCTCGCTTCCGTGCTCTGTAATAACGGTAATATTGTGCATTTTTNATATAATTAAAAAATAACATAATTAAAAAATAACATAATTAAAAAAAATTTCAACCTTCAATTAAAAACTTCCTGTTGTCATATATTAATAATAATTATAATTTTTAGCAACTTTTTTGGGCACAAATTTTTAATTCTCGAACTTAATACTATCCTTTATATGAAAATATCAGAAAATTTATAAAAGAAAAACTATATTTTAAAATTGAGACATTGGCGACAACAGAGGTTAGATGTATGTGCTGAGTTTAAATAAATTATATGTTATAAAACTCACATTTAAGATTTAGATCAATTTATTATCAGGTCATAAGAGTGTTTTTTAATAAATAAATGTAGTGATTGTTTGATTTACAATTGTAAGGTCCTGGGTGTTTAATGTTAAGTTATACATTTCTTTAGAAATAATATTTGAAATATGCAAAGCAGGGCGGCATTCATTTCAACTTAAAAATCATCAACTTAACTTTCAATAACTATAGATAAATAAAAAACAAAAGTTTGATAAAAACTTTAAAAGAAATACTTTTAGAAAAATTCTTTCTAAATAATATTTAAATAAAACACAATCACTTCGCCTGAGTGATTTTGGAAGGAATTCTAAACTTTATAATTTTACAAGTTAGGTGAAAAGTAAATATCTTATAATAGTGGTAGGGAATTAAGGAAATTCTAAATCTAAAGTTTGAGTCCTAGAACGTAAACATCTGATCATTAGATCAAAAGTTAGTTTTAGATTTTTCGTTTACTGCTCTCTGTACACTAAAACGTGATGCTTTTTTCTTTTGAAATTTTGATTTTAATGCCCTTACTTCAACCTCCTTCGAGTTATGCTTACTTTATAAATTTAATCTCAACTTTATTTTTCTCTTCACTTTTAAACTGTAAAAGACTTTTTCTCCATTTGTAAATTACGAAAAAAGTTATTAATCTGATTGTGTAAACAGTTAATTTATTAAAATTGGACATTCTCAATTAATTCCTTTTAATAGTCATTTATATTATTAATAATAATTATTTGCACAAAATTATAATAAAGGAAAGTTTGATTAGAAATTTAAAAGTTCCTGCTGTAATAATTAGTGAATTTCTATTGACAAACTCAAGTAATTTTTTTTCCGGAGCAAAATGCATTTTTATTTAAAATGGAACAGTACTAACACTCTCTAATCGCTAACACCGATGACAGGAAAAAAATTTCGTTTTTTTTTTTTATTTTGCACAAAAGGTTTAAAACTTAAAATGTTGTTCTTTCATTATAAAGCAATCGCATAATATTCTCGTATCATGTAAAACTTTATGATGAAGTTACTTTTCTACCGTTTTACATTTATAAAATTAAATAATTATTGAATTCTACTTGCATTTTAAAATGTAATACTCAATCGTTCAATGAATTTTACGATTATTTTTATAAAACTGTGCATAATGAACATTTCAACTAATATAATTAGTACAAAATAGCTGCTAAAAATTCTCTTAAACATTTATAAATATTATACATTTATAATTTCAGCTTTTCGCATTATTGCTAAATAATCTCTACGTCGAAAAATATTTAAGAAATTCCATAATAACTGAAAATTAAATAAAATTTTAAAAAAATTGTAAATGGTTATCGAGCAGAACCAAGTTTAATTAATGAATATAGAACTAGTAACAAAGTCTCTGCTGAACAATAAAATTTTTTTAATCTTTTAAGTAAACAAACTTTATTGTAATAATCATTTCATTATTAAGGATTAGAGGTTATTGTGAAATTATTAATTTTAATTAGTGGATGAGTAGGTGAAGAAGTTCACTACTGGAAATACATTCAATGAAAGTTATGAAAATACAGAAGGGCTATGGTGGTAATAATATATAATTTTTTTATCTTAGTTTTGTTACGACCTTCTAAAACACGCTAATAAACACAATTATGTTAACAAATACAAACGATTATGTCGGAGCTATAACAAAAAAATACGCTTTATATTTCATTTAATGCAGAAGAATCTAATGAAGATAATATTTGAAACTCCGAAATGATAGATACGTGATGCCAAAAACAAAACAAAAACATAAGCACACAGCTGTTTGGCGATTTGCGAGAACATTCGTTTAACGCCAATTGAAAGTTTCGCCAAACTTTTATAATCTACGGTATGTTTTGTCAATACCCATCCGGGTCACCACGTTGGGAAGCGAGAGCTCTATTCCATGAGCTACCACGGCTCAGCGTATAACTATTGATAAAAGGAAATCACAGGCATCTCTCTTAACTTTAAGAATCTGTTTTTAACTCTTTTAAATGGACAGTTCATCATTTGAATTGAACAGTACCAAAACACGACACATTTTCAAGACAAACTGCTGTCTACTTTTGTTTGTAACAGGTTTTCTACCAATGAACATTTGGAAAAAAAATTTAAAGAATGAAGGAGTTATTCTGCTTAGATTACCAACTATTCATTCGAAGAAAGTTGCAAAGATAGTTACAAAATTCGTCAATAAATACATCCTTTTTGCTGCAGGTCAAAACATTCAGGCTAAGATATTTGCCCGGGTATATTTTAAATTTATCCTCAGACATCCAAAAACGTTGTTGCTACAAACGCTGGTAATTTCGAAAATATTGTTTTATAGTTTTGTTTACCACCATCTGTTGATACTGGTAATAAATTAACTGGTTTCCTAAACAGAACGCAGCACCGTTTTTTTAAAATGGCCATTTTCAGAACATCCGTTTTACTGTATCTAATAATGAAGTATCGTGCCCTTTAAGCATGTTTTGGCAATTTTGAGCCCCCTGCCACCCTCGTCGGCAAAAATAAGCAAATCACAAACCTCCATCCCATATTTTCAGCCGCAACGAACCCTTTGTGTTAAATTGAACTTTTATTGTAGTTATCTAATTTAAAGATTAAATTCTAATAAAAAATGTAACTTAACAAAAATTAAAGTTTACGTTATACCTTTTTGTAAAATTTTTAATACAATATTATTTATAGAAATCATTAGTGTTTTCTTTCCATGGTTAAGCACATTTTCGGCTTAATCTACAAATAACCTCTGAATTACTACACCACTGTAACTCCTTGAAGAAAAAAAAAATTTTCTACTTTTTCTTTCCTCAGATTTAACTTTCACTTCAATTAAGAAATTTCTCCAAGAGTAATTTTTTGTGGTTGCCAGTTTTCAGTTAATTGTTTTATGATAAAAGAAGAAAGAAAGAAAAAACACTACGAGGTTTAGTGTCTTACGAATGCATTATTCAAACTTCTCTTCATTTTCTCAAAATTATATAGCAACTCACTTATGTAATATTTATTTGAACGGCTCTTTAAAATTCTGCTTTATATTAACACCATCCAAATGTTTTGCTTACTAAATTTTGTAATTTAAATTAGAAGTACATTGTGAGAATTCATGCAATTATTATTTTGCTATTGTTAGTATTTCGCTTAATAAACTTTCAAAACAATTTTGCAGGTCACATTGTGATTGTGATAATGAATTTTATTCGTGTCTGAAAAATACAAGGAACAAATTTGCTGATATGGTTGGAAATTTCTACTTTAATTTCATGCAAGTGCAATGTTTAAAAGAGACGAGACCCTTTATTTGTGTAGAAAACAGGTAAAAATTTGTTCAAGCTTTCTATGCCTAAACTGCTATGATATTTTTTTTTAAAATATCGAAACATTTTTTTCCGAACACAGTAATTTTAAATAACATTATCTTGACTATCACACTGAATCTTAACATGTTTTGAAAATCTTTAAAAAAAATAATTAATTTTTTAAAAAATCATAAACAAAATTACTATGTATTATTTTTTAAAAAAAAAATTTCTATAATAATAAATCATTCTTATTATTATATGTTGATATTTTATTACGGCATGGAAGTTTCAATATTCTACTATCTATTTAAACTATTAAAAATTTTCTGTTCATGGATTTGATGCAGTTTGTTGTTCATAAAACTTTATGTAACTACAACTGTTACATAAAACTTTAAAATTTGCCAAGACATTATTTAAAAGAGACATTGTAGTAATCACTGAATTAAAGAACTGAATTAAATTACAACATAAACTTCAAATAAGAAGAAAATAAACTACTTCCAGATATAAACAGAAAATAAACAGATAAGAAATTAATAAATATATTCAATTCTAATCATATAGGATGAAATAGATTCCCCGATACTCTCAGAATTCTCCGCAGAGTTTTCTCGGGTTGTTCTTCTGAACAACCCAAAATCCAAGATTAATTTCAGTTACTTCGTTTTTTGTCTATTCTGGTCCAATACTTTTTGCCATCTTTCCGCAGTATAGACTGATTCAATGCTCATAAAATGTTTGTTCTTTACTGGCGAAACACTGGTCCTCATTTGAAGTATAAGTTTAAACATCTAAAAAATTTTATAGAGACCAGAACATTGTTGTAAAAAACCCACTTCTCAATTCCAGTGATGATGCGCTTCAAAAATTTATCATTTTTCTCAAAAATTCAACAATTGTAATTCATTAATTCAATTTTGAAAATAAGTTTAATTTTATCTTCATAGGGCAAAATAAATTAATGTCCTATCCAAGCAGCAGGTTGTTTTCTTTGGTTAGTTAAAAAAATTTTATTACAGCAATATTAAATTACTTTGCTTGCAATTTAGACTCAAATAAACCTATAATAGGAGTTAAGAGTGATTTCTATAGGGTATCCACAAACTGTAAATTAGTCATTTTACAGGTTAGGAATGACGTAATAAATATTAAAAATTTGAATGACTCATCATTAGCAATTATAACCCAACATGAAAATATTGAATATCATATAGCTCTATCGAGAACCTAAAATCGTATTAAATAAAAAAAAATTTTAAAATAAGTTTAAACTGTTACATCACAATACTCCTACGTCTATATTTAATTCCTTGTTTTTCAGAACTGAAATCGATGGAGGTCAACAATGTGTGAAATGGAGTGCTGATCCTAGTTCTACGAAATTACATGTAACAGTGTCACAATTAGAGTATTGAAAAAAATACGTAATTTTATTAGATACAGTCAATAAATAACGAGAAGATACTTTTTAATTCAAAAGTAATGTCTACAATCGTTTATAGATTTTTGTCCTATTGTGACACAAGTCGCTCAAAAATTTTTTTTAAAAAAAATGGCTACTATTTGGACCAGCAACACTAATTCGAAGTCAGTAACATGCAGAAAGATCTCAGACTTAATGGGTGGGTGGTTCAGGACTTCAAATTTGAATTTTGGCAGAAGTTCCTTTAATCTCTAAAGTACACGTGAGCGTGCGATTTCTCTTCGCAGTCCACAGTATCATATATAAAACGAAAATTTCTGAGTCTAGTGGTTCCTGGATTCGATACTTTCGGTACATGTACGTTTACTCTTGAAGTGCGTGGGCCTGCAAAAGCTATTCTTTCTCCTTCCGCCGGTTCTGAAGGGGTTGATGCATGTTCTAGCATTATCATGCAACAGGATGATTCCTAGAGGAGGTTTACCAAAACATTCGATTTGATAGCCTTCCTGGGCTTTGCTAACGTTTCAAATTATGGCTGATTGCTAACGCAAGCACTAAGAAATAAAGAAGGAAAGGTTCTTTGTATCCAGCAGAACAAAATGAAAAGACAGACAGTTGCTAAGTAATCTTTTTACCATCGCTTGCAAGGTAAGCATTGCAACTTAGCGAGAGACGCACGAAATTCGTTTTGGCCCACCACCATTTTTCTAGATAAGAGTTTTGGTTAAAGACCTCTGCTTTGTTATTTATTGACTACACCTAATTCTTGTACAAAATGAAACTATTAAGCACAAATATTTATAATATACTGTCATTATGTTTAATAAATTATAAAACAATAAACACATACATTTTATAAAAAGTTTAGTATTGTTAAAATACATAATTGTAGATTTTTTTTTCTTTTCAAGAAACTGATGCTCTATAACCTCTTAGTAATTTTGCTAAATATGCATATTATTATGAATTTCACAAAACTTGAAGATAACATTAGTTATCAGTTATACTAAAAATAATAACTAATTTTATCTTAATTATTATTCATTGAAATTAAGAATTAAAGCTTTGATATTTATCAAACTATTGATGCCATGTTTTTCAAAATGCGCAAGCAATAAAACGGCTCTTACCAAAAAAAAATAGTTCATTAAAACATAGTAACTTCATAGTTGAGATTAATAAATCAGATACAAAGGCTAGATTTAAAAATAATAGGTGTATGGTGGTATTTTTTTTTAAATAATAAAATTTGGTTAAGAAAAAATCATTTCCAATTTCATCCTATTTTTTTTAAAGAAAAAGGTTTTCTTCCAATACTGGCAAAAATAGTTGACTTACAAATTGCATAACTATTTGATATGTTAGAAACTAAAAAGAGTATAGAAACATTCCAAGAGAAAGCTTGATATTTTATACTTGAAAAAATCAATGTTCTTGTATTAAAATACTAATTTTAGCACAAAATATTTTGTACCTTAAGCAGTTATATTTAAAAAAAAAATAAAACAATATCTCTTTGCATTTAAAAATAATTTTGTACTTCAAAATCAAATGCTAGTTTTAAATAGTTAACTAATTTTAATTACATGCAAGTAGGTAATTAATTTAAAAGTTCTACCTTCAAACACTTTCTTAAAAGTATATTTTTAATTTAACCATAAAATGTTAAGCGTGGAACTTAATTTTAGAAATTCTGCACAGGCTTCGGAACTACAAACAAGCAATGATGAATACTGAGTAAATGGTCATAAATTTTACGAAAAACAAGTAAAGATTACATGTTTCTTTAACAAAAAATTAACAATTCATCTCTAAAAAGGTTACTGTAATTAGAAACTTGTCAAAATAATTATACATTATAAAAGACACAGAGTAATACACTGCCAAAGTAAGGAAGAGAGAGCTTTGGGATCACATGCCTCAAATTCTTACATTCAATCCAAGAATATCTAGGTTTCTACCTTTTTAGAGGAATTCTATTCTAATGCTTAGCAGTTTAATTGGTAATATAAAAGACGCAAAGAAATTATATTCTTATTGTATTTTGTTAAAATTTCTAGTTTTAGAAGTCAATGGTAATTTATTATGAGGGCAAGTTTTTTTTTTTAAGACATACATAACTAATTAACAGATGAAGGAATGATGAGGAACAAAAACTAATACCTCAAAAAAATTTTCATAATTTTCAAATTAATGCTCAACACAAATTTTTTAATAACTATTCAAAATAGCCACTAGTATTTGTACACAGAGGCTTTATACTGGATATCAAAAAGGCCCAAGATCCAAGAAATCTCAAAATCTTTTGCCAAGTAATTTATCAGAATTGGGATGAAAAAATACTCAACCTCTGTTTCCCACTTAGAATTCTTTTATTCAATTCTAGAATATCTAGGACTCTGCCTTGTAGAGCATCCTTTCCAACCATCTCCAGAAAAAATCTTCAGCTCCTTTTAAGTAAAGTGCGACTTCATTTGTTTAAATGCACAGAACAGATTCATTGCATACATTGTTAATACTGTTGGTTGATTATGTCCGAAAAAAACTTTTAAATAACTTAAAAAGTACATATTTCAGTCATGCTATTTTTTGTCCATTATCATATTACTTCAGTAAATGTGCATTGCAAAATAGGTCAAACAAGAAAAAACTTTCCACATTGTATTTTATAAACTTAAGTATTCACACATTACTATTCATAATCAGTCATTTTTTCTGCAATTTTAATTATTAGTAAATTATTTCAATACTATAGTGTTAAATTCACATCAAAAAATGTTTTTTTTTACAGCCACTTTTACTGAATGTGTTATTTTAAACCAGAATAGAATAGTTAAAATTGATTACGAAGCCACCCTGTAAATGCATAGCAAGCAACATGCAAGATGTTTTAAATACAGATAAATGAAACAAAAATGCACTCAAAATAAGGAAATTTATTCCCTTTGAATTTTATTTTAGACTTCACAAAAATAAGTACATTTTTATTTTTAAATACATTTCCTTCAGTAAATACATAAATGACATGTCATAAGGAATATATAGGTTAAGGTACGTTAATAAGTTTTTTTTATTATCAAACTCTGATATCATTGTGTTAAATTAAATGTAAATCAATTGAAAAAATTTTATTATCTTTAATACTAAATTTTATTTTCTATAAAATGTTTCTGAAGTTAATTAAAGTAATAAAATATTCAATTTAACATTACAGCAAAACTAAAGATAATAATCATTTTTTTAAACTTAATACAACTTAAACTAGTCGAATCACCGATAGAATAATAGTTATCACAGATTTTGACTACCAATTAATNATTTTTTTTTTTTTTTTTTAAAGAAAAAGGTTTCCCTCCAATACTGGCAAAAATACTTGACTTAGTGAAAATATTACGAATTGTATTACAATTTGATACGTTAAAAACTAAAAAGAGCCTAGAAACATTCCTATATTAACCAAGAGAAAGCTCGATATTTTATACTTGAAAAAAATCAATGCTCTTGTATTAAAATACTAATTTTAGCACAGAATATTTTGTACCTTAAGCAGTTATATTTAAAAAATAAATAATAAAACAATAACTCTTTGCATTTAAAAATAATTTTATACTTCAAAATCAAATGATAGTTTTAAATAGTTAACTAATTTTAATTACATGCAAGTAGGTAATTAATTTAAAAGTTGTACCTTCAAACACTTTCTTAAAAGTATATTTTTAATTTAAACATAAAATGTTAACTAGTTAAGAGTGGAAATTAATTTTAAAAATTCTGCACAGGCTTTGGAACTACAAACAAGCAATGATGAATACAGAGTAAATGGTCATAAATTTTTCAAAAAACAAGTAAAGATTACATGTTTCTTTAACAAAAAATTAACTATTCATCTCTAGAAAGGTTTCTGTCATTTGAAACTTATTGTCAAAATAATTATAAAAGACACAGAGTAATACACTGCCAAAGCAAGGAAGAGAGAGCTTTGGGATCACATGCCTCAAATTCTTGCATTCAATCCAAGAATATCTAGGTTTCTACCTTTTTAGAGGAATTCTATTCTAATGTTTAGCAGTTTAATTGGTAATATAAAAGACGCCTCACCAAATAATATTCTTATTGTATTTTATTAACATTTCTAGTTTTAGAAGTCAATGGTAATTTATTATGAGTGCAAGTTTTTTTTTTTTTTTTTTAAGACATGCATAACTATTTAACAGATGAAAGAATGATGAGGAACAAAAACTATTACCTCAAAAAAAAATTTCCTCATTTTCAAATTAATGCTCAACACAAATTTTTTAATAACTATTCAAAATAGCCTTTCACCTACCTTGGCTCTGAAATCAACTCCAAAAACTCAATTTCCACAGAAGTAAGGAAGAGAGTAACTGCAGCCAACAAGTGCTTTTATGGCATAAAAAAATTCCGTAAATCTGACAACATTAAAAGATGACACCAAGTTGCTAATATATAAAAGCCTAATAAGATCAGTTCTCACTTACGCATCTGAAACCTGGACCTTGTCCCAAGCTGATGAGAGCACCATCGCTGCTTTCAAGAGGAAGATACTCCGATCCATTTTTGGTGGTGTATGTGACAAGGGAGTGTGGAGAAGGATAATTAACTCTGAACTTTACAGGATATTCAGAGAACCGGACATTCTGACGTACAATAAGATCCAGCGCATGAAATGGGCCGGACACATTGCAAGAATGAACGATGACAGAACAACTAAAAGAATCATTTTGGCAAGGCCAACTGGAGTTTGCCTCCAAAGGGACTTAACCACAATCAAGGTCAGATACTGGAAAGCCGTGGCACGCAGAAAGGACTGGTGCAGTCTTCTTGAGAAAGCCAAGGTCCACCCAGGACTGTCGAGCTACTGATGATGATGATGATTCAAAATAGCCATTAGTATTTGTACACAGAGGCTTTCTACTGGAAATCAAAAAGGCCCAAGATCCAAGAAATCTCAAAATCCTTTGACAAGTAATTTATCAGAATTGGAATGAAAAAATACTCAACTTCTGTTTCCCATTTAGGATTCCTTTATTCAATTCTAGAATATCTAGAACACTGCCTTGTAGAGCATCATTTCCTACCATCTCCAGAAAAAATCTTCAGCTCCTTTTAAGTAAAGAGTGACTTAATTTGTTTAAATGCACAGAACAGATGAATAGCATACATTGTTAATACTGTTGGTTGATTATGTCCGAAAAAACTTTTAAATAACTTAAAAAGTACATATTTCAGTCATGCTATTTTTTGTTCATTATCATATTACTTCTGTAAATGTGCATTGCAAAATAGGTCAAACAAGAAAAAACTTTCCACATTGTATTTTATAAACTTAAGTATTCACACATTACTATTCATAATCAGTTATTTTTTCTGCAATTTTAATTATTAGTAAATTATTTCAATACTATAGTGTTAAATTCACATCAAAAAATGTTTTTTTTTTACAGCCACTTTTACTGAATGTGTTATTTTAAACCAGAATAGAATAGTTAAAATTGATTACGAAGCCACCCTGTAAATGCATAGCAAGCAACATGCAAGATGTTTTAAATACAGATAAATGAAACAAAAATGCACTCAAAATAAGGAAATTTATTCCCTTTGAATTTTATTTTAGACTTCACAAAAATAAGTACATTTTTATTTTTAAATACATTTCCTTCAGTAAATACATAAATGACATGTCATAAGGAATATATAGGTTAAGGTACGTTAATAAGTTTTTTTTATTATCAAACTCTGATATCATTGTGTTAAATTAAATGTAAATCAATTGAAAAAATTTTATTATCTTTAATACTAAATTTTATTTTCTATAAAATGCTTCTGAAGTTAATTAAAGTAATAAAATATTCAATTTAACATTACAGCAAAACTAAAGATAATAATCATTTTTTTAAACTTAATACAACTTAAACTAGTCGAATCACCGATAGAATAATAGTTATCACAGATTTTGACTACCAATTAATAGTAGGAGAAAAGATTGCTATTTCATTGGCATTTCAAATAATTCAAGAATAAAAGTAAAAATGCATAAATGCAGTTAATAAGTGAATTCTTGTTTGCATAAAATATTACACGGTCCTAACCAATACCAATAGAACAAACTTCATACAATAATAAGTGCAGAAAAGAAAAACTACCTTTTTTATATTGAACATGAAAGACTGATGGAAAAAACTATCAAAAGCATATTGCAATTCAATTACAAAATAATTTTGTTTTAAAAAAAATGACATTAAAGAATGAAAGACTAAAAAACATTGTAAAAGGTGTCATTTTAATTATTTTTTAATACTTCATATAAAAAACAAAACAAAGAATAACCTCCAATGAGAAGCTGAAAAATACTTGGGTTTTCATAGTGTATAAAAAGAGATGATTAAAAATGCAGAATTATAAACATAATAGTTGAATTAAATAATGTTTAAAAAAAGATAATCAAGTGCAATAAAAAATAAATCGAAAACAAACGGTAATTATCACTTAAAAATTCAATATTTCTTTTTATTATATAATTTGAAAATGAGATTCGTGCCAAAAGAAATAGAGTAATAAATATAAATGAATAGTTATAAAATAATAAGTACATAGTAGGGACGTGCCTAGCACCAGATCAAATTTTCATTGCTTGAAAAACTGCACAAAAAAAATTTAAATAAATTTAATTGCAATTTAGCTGGGTTCAAAAGAAATAATGTTCTTTAATGCAAAAGAACTTTTTAGCATTGATACCAAATTAAATATTTTGACAGATTTTTTACAAGAAAATATTAAATGATTTATGAATAACAGAGAAAACTAAATACAGCAATAAGCATTACTTAAAAAAAAGTTTTCATATTTAAAATTAAATTATAAATTTCATGTTATTTTACCGCAATTTTACAAATTTAAAATAATTTTAAACAGTAAATGCAATTCAATAAGAAAAGTAAATCGAAATTTTTGTAAATGTATAAATTCTACTACTTGTTTTTTTTTCCCCCACAGAGGCTAAAAAAATAAATAATCAGATACTTTATTGTACATTGAATAATATTTAAAGGAGACCCAACAAATATTTAGAATCGGGCATACATATCTAATATATAATTTAAATTAAAAATAAGCATTAAAAATAAAGAAAAATAGTAATATTTTTTGATGCAGTTAACATATAAAAAACTTATGCAAAAACGATATTTTCCCTTAGAATGCTATAAATGCAATAATTGACAAATCTTATAGACGATTAGTTAATAACTATTTCAAAAAGAAAAAATTTCCCATAAAACAATATTACAAAAAACTAACCAGCAGACACCAGAAATGAGAAATACACACATTAAAACAAAAGAAAGCTTCTAAACAATCTTTCAAAAGTAAGAAATAAGAATATTGGGAGAATAAATAAATTTTGAAAGGCAGTAAAAAATATACAGAAATAAAAAAAAACATATTTAAAAGAAACAGATTATTCTAAAATTTCACTTTGTTACTAATTACATAATTGAAATGTTAGAAGCAAGGATGCTTATCTGTAGCAATGCTTTTCTGAAATAATAAGTTTTTGACAATACTGAAATGTAAAATGAAGCATTTCATAATTATTTAAAAAGTTAAAAACTTTTTCTATGCAATAAAATCAGCTTCTTCATCTGTACTTGAATTTTGCTTTGACTGGGAAAAAATTATTTGTCTCCAGATTGTAAAAATGTTAATATAAAAATGGAGCTCAATTACAAGGTAAAATAATAAAACAGGAAATAACCATTAAAAAATTTGAGTTCCCATAATTGTCACAATTGAAATTCATAGAAATTATTCTGAAAATCTACTGAAGTTGAAATAATTCCTGGAAAAATTAATAAACAAGAGCATTAATGAAGACTAATATAGCAGGGGAATCTTAATTATTCAAATATTTTTCATCAGAAAATTTCTGTTCAGATAAGTCGATTTCTCCATTAACAAATGGTTCATTCACAACTAATGCTGTAATTGGTAAGCACAATAGGGATCAAATGCTCTCCCAAGGGGGTCTAGGGCACACCCTAGAAATCCAAATAAATTAAAAATTACTTTTCGTTTTATAATTTTTTACTATTTCTTAATTTAGGTAATTAAAATTTTTCATTTGGTGGTAATCATGTGGCATATTATACATATTATTGTCAGAATTTTAAAAAAAATTATTTTAAAGCTTAATGCCATGATGAACTAATAACCGGATAATAAATTCTAGAGCACAGTTCTTTTAATTTCCTTCAGTACATGCAACTTATTTAATTTAGTAAAATGTAATTATGGTTTTCTTTTTTTAATTTCTAAAACTGAAATGTTCACATTTTTTGTGCCAAAAACTTTTGGTTTAGCAGCATTAAATAAATTATCAGAATTTATGAAACATTTTGCTATGCACAGTTAAGAATATTTTTCAGAATTACAAAAAAGTACAAGAACAATTTTAGATCACTTGGAAAATTTTCCACTGCTCTCCCTCTCTGGCGATTCCAATGGTTTTAAACATGATGTAATAAATTTCAAAAACATTGTGCTTAAGATTCAATTCTTTCGCAGTACACACTATGCAGGAACAAAACTCATTTAGTTAATTAAAATAAATTATACAGTCACCAATGTCATACATGTTGCATCCCACATAATAATGAAACTCATAATCTTAATAAATTCCACAGTTTCATCACTGATTTTGAAAATAATGAATAAGGGAGTAGGTCGAAAGAAATTACACTGCCAATAAAGTCATAAATGTTGCATCCCACATAATAAAATGACACATAGTCCTGATAAATTTCGCAGCTGCATAACCCATTTTTATAACAATACTAATAAGGGAGTGAGGTAAAAGAAATTACATTGTTACCAAAGTCATAAGTGTTGTACTATGCATAAAAATAAAACCCACAGTCCTGATAAATTACATAGCTGCATAACTGATTGTGAAAATAATGAACAAAGGAGTGGGGTGAAAGAAATTATATCATCATAAATGTTGCAGCCCTGCATAATGATAAAACCAATAGTCCTGATAAATTCCATAGATGCATCACTGATTCTGAAAATAATGAATAAGGAGTGGTGGAAGATTATAATCTGAATACTTTCCTAGGATTAGGTGTAAGTTTAATAGAGTACAAGTTAGAATCAGGCTTTCCAAAGTCCGGAGTCAGAGCGAACATTTCAAAGACTGACGCAAGAGCTCGGAGTTATAATTAATATTTTGTCTATAAAAGAGCACTATTCAAAAATTAAAGATAACACACCTGGAGAGAAGTAATACAGATTTATCGAAAAATTTCAATTCATTTCATTTAAAACTTTAGAAACAACTTTCTATCTGTCAGTAATCGATAGAGAAAAATTGCCATATGAAATTTTCGTATCACTTATCAAATTCATCTTTTTCTATCAAAACTTCAAATATTTTATTTGTAGATTCAGTCGGGTAGGTTTATAAAACATTTGTTCACAATATTTACAAATTATAAAAAGGCCATAAAGTATTTTATAAAAGTTACCGAGAAAAAAAAGTGAATATGTGAGAGGTAATAAAATAGATCAAATGAATAAATGTGAGATACAGAAAGACAAACAAATAACAAATATCAACAAAAAAAAAGGTCACAAAATTTTAAAATAAACAAAAATAATACCAAAATAACTAATACTTCAAATTGTAGGTACACTTTTAAAATTATGGTTGACTTTTTTAATTATCAGTCAAAGATCTCAATTATAAAACTTAATAAAGATAAAAATGAATAAAATCCTTCACATAAAAGGTAGAACAGAAATCAGAAAAATAGGAACAAATTTTGTTAACTGTGAATAGGTTTATGAATGCAATCTGACATCTAAATACTAATTTGTTTTCAGTATATTTTTCCTCATGTCTCCAATTGAGTTTTGTATCTAAAATTCCTTAAATTAAATTACATTATCTGAAATTATGGAATTAAATTACATGTTATGTGTATTTTTATTATTTTTTTTACTCAATTAGACACTTTCCTGTATCAAGAGCACTATCTCAGAAATATGATATATATGTTTTAAAAAAATGTGTCATAAAATTTTAAAAGTGTTCAAGAATTTTATACATATCACAGACATTCCTAACAACGCAAAAATTTAAATATACACATAGTTTTCAAGCGAAACAATTAATTGCTAAATAGCAATGCAGAACCTAAATTATTTTTTTTTTTTATATTTATTCATTTATCAGACAGATCTGATATTTCTTGATCAGAGATTTGAAGATCCTTAAAGTTAAGATCCTCAAATCTTTAACTTTAAAGGTGCACCCACAAATGCTCTTTTTTAAATAAAACACAACAAAAGAAACTCTCCACCATAAAAAAAATAATAATAAGGTACAGTATATGAGATTAACAAAACATTTTGGGGAAAAATTAAGATAAGTTTCACTGAAAAATTTTCGACAACATCAATTAAGAAATAGTGAATTATATTCATAAATATACCTTTTAAAAAAGAATTTGTTTAATATATTTAATTGAATATAAAATGCTGTTTTAGTCGCTTATAAAAATTAAGGCATAGACATGGGTGGATTACTTATATAGAGAAGAAATATTTGAGTATTAGTAGTGAATAATAAAACCATGGGTTAAAAAAACAGAGTCCAAAGGTTTGGTATCAAATACTTCTGGAAGATGTAGAAAATCTTATTAATTTCCACCAGCATTTTAAAATCTATCAAAATGAGGTACAACTTATTATACTTGTGTAAAAAGTTTTGTAGCCATGTTAAAAACAAATTTCAGTTAAAAATAGTGAGCAATTCTAGTTTAATACTGATGATGTGCCTCTACAATATTCAAAGAAAATTACAGTTTGTAATTTGTTTTTACTTAAATTTGAATGTAAAAGTCAAATATTTACTCTTAGATTTTAGCTAGTTGCTATGCTACAACACAAACATGTTGTATAATGAGATATTACCACTTAAAAGAAAAAATTTCATTCAAATTTGTCCACTAGGCAATTATAATTTTGTTAGTAATTTTTTTCTTAATTTGCAATTAATTTGTTACAATAAATACTTTATTATTATTAAATTATAATAGTGGCATTAATTTGATAGAAGTAAAAATACTTTTTGACTAAAATTTCAAAAGTATTGATACAATTTAAGGAAGATTTTAAAAAATATTTAACAATTATTTTTAGCAATTACGTAATTACAATATTTAGCAATTGCATAACTATCAAAAACTACAACTAAATGTAATTACTATGAGATTAAGTAAGGACATTGAAAAAGTTTACTAATAATTTGTATTTTGGAAATGCATTATAATAAATATAACCAATAATATAGTTTGATAACTCTGATATGATATTAACGATTTTTATAAATTTAAATATAATTTTTATAGTTTTCAAACTATAGGCAATTTATTAAAGTGCTTAAAAATAATTTTTAACTCATGGAGAATGTTTAAAACTATTAAACATTTTCACCGAACAGGACTGACTGAAACTAACAGTCTACACAAACGTTTAAAAATATTTGGTGCATAACAACTACAAAACTAACACAAACATAACATTATCAATAATATTTTTGTAACTAATGTTCTACTCTCAACAAAACAACTTGGTTAAAGACATCTAGATTTTTGGACCAAATAATTTGCACTAAGGAACAATGGTTAAAGAAACGGGAGAATGAAATATTTAGGGCATGCCTGCTTGAATAACTAATTATAATCAATGAAATAACTTTTTTTAATTGACAATGATAGTTTTATAAGCTCCATCAGCACAGTTGTTTTCAGATTTAAGCTTGCTAGGTGTCCAATCGCTTTTTAAAGAAAGGTTGAACATCGAGTATGAAGGATCTCCTGTTACTTCTTTTATGACATGCAAGAAGTCTGGCAGACGTTGAATAAACTCCTCCCCTTTAAGTGTTGTGTATGTTTCCAGCAATATCAAGCCATCACACCTTTATCAAGAAAACAAAAGTACAGATATCAAAATTTATGTCGGAAGAAAAATACGGTCGGGCTTCTATTTAACGAACTTTCATTTATTTAGCGATTTTCTTTGAGGAACCGAGAACAGTTTGGAAATTTCTTTGTAGAATAACTTCTAAATAGCAGAGTGAATTTTCTATTTAACGAACTTTTCCTTGCGATCCTTTTTCCCAAAATATTTTAGAACATTTCAATTTGTTAACGCATTTTATGGGGGGAAATGACCTTGAATTGATTTTCGCAGCTACTTAACTTTTAGAAAAAGCAGTAAAATCCCTTTTTGTTTGCATTTCATACAGAAATCCATGCCAAAAATCAATTTACAAGAAAGCATGACAGAAATTTCTAAACTATAGAACTATGATATTACAGATCGTACTATTCGTAACAGTTTTGCTAAAGTTGGATTCTTAGTCAATGCGGAGAATTTGGAAAGTGCAGAGGACAAGGATGATATTCCTTTAGAAGAACTTTTTTAAAAAATACATGGGTACAGCTAAGGGAAAACCATGAAATTAACAATAATGTACTGATCAATGATTTTATTTTTACTGATTCTGAAGCTGCAACCACAAGACACATCAACTGAATCGTATATTTTGGACAGTGTGAAAAATAAAATCAATACAGCAATAAATTATGAGGAAGACTAAGAAGATGAAAACAGAAATGATGAAGATATCACAAAACCTTCATATGATGAAATGTTAAAATCATTCTAACAATTGGATTGTAGATAATAATTTACAAGATAAAGATGCATTAATTGCTATTTTCATTATGTCTAGTGTTTATAAATTGTTGTGCGTATTGCAAGTATTTTAAATGACGATTTTCTATTTAACGAATTTTCCATATAGCGACTTCATTAAATAGAGGTCTGACTGTATATTTGAATTATCATTTCCTAAATATAGAGGTTTTTTTTATTATTAAAATAACTGTGCCAATTTATGCCACCTTTCTTGATTAGCTTATTGTTTATCCACAAAACAATATCCTTTGGTCAAATATATTATGAGGTGTGCACCAAAGAATAGCGTTCTCAACTTTCACGATTTAAATTACATAATCACGAAATTTTCAGTATGAAAAACAAAGGTGACAGACAGAGATGAAAAAAATATAATTTTTATCAATTTTGATATAAAAACAATTCAGTTTTACTGAATATACTAAGATGACAATGTGAATAAAGAAGTAGTTTGTACGCTGCATTTTGCTCTCTATGTCTAACATTAAGATAATCTTTTTTAATACTATTTTTGAACAACATCTTACATACATTTATACAAAATTTTATTACATTCTTCCAAATGGTATGCAAGCCAGGATACAGTTACTTCAAAATCTCCCAGAACATAATTTAAGTTATAAAATACCTGCAAAATTTATAATACTCAAAAAGAAAATAAAGTTGTTAATTTTGAAGCTAAGAACTTTGTTCTCGTATTAGTGACAATTAAATAGCTGAATATAATGTCACAAGGGTCAAAAAAGGCTATTTATGACAATTAAAAAGACACATTAAAAACAACAAAATCAAATCAACTTAAAATTCAAAGTTGTAAGATCTGTATTTATTCGATAATTTCCCTGAAAACTTCTGCTTCTCAGTTAAAGCTGAAAATAAACGAAACTATCATGATTAAATATAATAAAGCTGATAAATTTAAATAATAAATTTTTTTTCACTATTTTTAAATTTCAAAATTAAATATTTCAAAATCAGGATAGCTTCATATTATTTCAATGAACTAGAAGGTTCTTAATTTCAGATTAGTCTCCAACTTTGGATCAAACCTGTAGATAGCATCCAACTTTAAAAACACTGTTGACTTTAAATATTCAAAATGAAAAAAATGAAAAAATCCAAATTAAAATATCTGATTGCTTGAACATGCCACTGTAAAATATAATGTTGAAATTACATTTATTTCGCTGTGTTACAGAGTTGGCACCTGGTGATTTAAGGTTAGTTAGTTGGTTGAAATGTTTCCTAACTTGGGAGCCGAAAAATTCAAAACTAAGCCTAACATAAGAGTAAAACAAAATAAAAGAAGAAATATCAGTGGGGTGGCTTAGAGTTATGGGACCCACACTTATCAGATTAAAGTAAAACACCAGAGAGTCAGATAATGTGAGAAACTAGTCTTAAAACTCTGCCATTACAAACACTTATCTTTAAGAAGTTTTTCAAATGAATGAATCTGCAAAAAGTAATGTAAAACTTAGTGTCTCTGGGGTTTACCTTTACATAAGCCTATTTTTTGTGATTTCAGATCATAATATATAGGTACAGAACAAAAGATAATTCACTTAAAGTAAATGTAGTAACAAAAAAATGCTAGCTTCATTTTTCTTTTAAAAAAAATTGCGAAAAATGTTTTTTTTACCTAGGATGACAGGGAGATTTGTAAATATCCATCTGCATATACATGTTATTTAGCATGAAACTCCTCCTTTTCTTCAATACCTTATGGTGTCTTACATCTCTCTGAGCTAGCATATTCTAAAATAAGAACACGAAAAAAGTTGATTTTTTAAAAATGTTTAAACAATGTTTAAGTTAGAAACAAAGGTGGTCTATTTATCAGAAATATTTTAATACTACAACAAAATAACTAAGAAAAAGTGACTAACTTCTAAACGCTGTTTAAATTTACTAATTGCAATTTAAAATACTTTTTCCATATTAAAAGTACGAAGTAAATATTATGTTAGAAATAAATAAGGAACTGGATTTTATAAATGGTTTTAACTCATTCAACTGGGAAACCAACTATTATCAGAAACAAAACAATTTTTACAATATTCATTTTTCTTAATTTTATTTTTATTTATTCGTGTTAGGAATTATTGAGAAAAATTCACAATTATAAATATCAACAATCAATTAGGAGGCTAAATAATTAATAAACAATTGATTTTCATGTTTAAAAATTATTAATTGTCAGAAAATTTACAGTTACATTGAGAGCAATTATGATGCTAATCATCTTTTGATGTAAATTTAGTAAACAATGAGGTGATACACCAAAAATGATTGCTTTAATTGCTTCAGATATATAAAAAAAAATAGTCTCCAAAATAGCTTACATCCTCTCATTTATTTTTACAGTATTTATATTTTAGCGATGTAAAATAATCCGAATAATGTCTCTTTTTTTAGACATTTACACTTCAAAAAAATATGTACAACAATAATTTAATTTTAAATGTACAAAAAGCAAAAGGTTTTAGTTCAATCTATTGAACATATCATGCTATACCAAGTTATAAGGTTTTCAGGAAATTCTCAAAAAAAAAAAAAAAAAAAAGAGGAAATATATGAAGAAAAAATTTACATGATATGTGTTATGTAAAATTTACATAACACATAATTTAAAATTTACATAAAAAAAACAACACATTATATGTTATGTAAAATTTCCAATAACAATTTACAATATGTTAACGGAAAATTATGCTATACAACAATTTTCCGATAATTGTAAATAATATTAATAAAAATGCTTTAAACACACAGACACTACACTGATATTTTATAATCTGTGCTTAATTTATCAATGCAAAAATAACAAAATATTGAATTGGAATTTTGTCAAAAATTATAAACTATAATGTGTTAAATGAAAAATAATTGGAGTATACAATAACTAATGAGCTTATTTTAATGTGTAACGAAATTTATTTCCCATATAATTATTTTTCTTCAAGAATTGCAGAAATTTTTTGGTCAATAATTAACTATTTATTATTTTTTTTCCATAGCTGCAGACCTTTATACATTTTAAGCATTTTTTTTTCATATTTGAAGTGGTAGTAAAATTTATGCATTCTATTCCTTTATTAAATTTATAACTAACTTGAAATGATTTTGATCACCAATACATGTAAATAAACATATATATAAATGCATGATTATCACATTATGGTGTGTTTAAGCTCTTAAATACAAAGTTTATTTCTGTTTAATAGTTATAATTCAATTTTTCTTTTTACTATCAATAAGGAAAATCATTTTTAGAAAGATTATAAGTATATATGATATATATGACATATATATACAGGGATCTGTCAAGGCCAAATTTACTACCATTTAGCGGTACCTTCACGAATTCAACTTCAGGAAAAACGGTAGTATTGCAAAATACTTTTTCTTAAAATTTTATTTTTTTATCCTGTAAGAAACAATAAATCCATATTTTTACCATGTTTTTGTGTTGATTTTTTAATATAATTTTTAACTTTCTTAAATTATGGCTAAATTTTCACAAAATAGGTTACCTCTCAGAAAACCCTAGAGAGACCCCTGATATAGTAAGATTATAGGTACATTTGATATATATTAATTTCCACAAAATGTATATTTTTCTTATAGAGTTCGATTAATGTTAGTTATTTGCAGCTTCAACAACCCAATTTTTAAGCATTTCTAGCAACACAAAAAAAAATCATAAATTGATTTCTTTAGTAGCCAATGGGTAAAAAAGAGATTTTTCACAAGATTGCAAAATAGTCGTTTTAGCCTAATTTTTGGCGAAAATAGTCACAGTTGGGTGTTTTTTCTTAAGTTGCCAATAGAAAGGGGCTTAGTAGCAAATTAAAAAAAATACACACAAAAAATAAAATAATTAACAAGATGACTAACAATATAATCTCTGTGGGTAATTTGCCTCTTTAGTTCAATGACCTGATTGGAGTCAGAACGCCTCTGAGTATGCAAATAGCTCCAATTTCCTATGCAAGATAAAAAAGAAAAATTTTATACATTTGAAAATTCAACAGGAAATAGAAATGTGAAATGAAATTATAAACAAAAAAAAATCACCCTTTTGACCACGTTTTCGCAGTCTAGCCTGAACTTTGGGATTTGAAGTAACTAAATAGTGATGCACAACTTCAAAATCCTGGTAACGTGGAAATTCCTAAAAAAGAAAAAAAAATAAGAATTTTATCTGATTTACAGAAAAATTTAGTTACCAAAAAGTATTTGCAATCAGACTCCCTGTGGCAGAATTGTCGTGACAATGTCACAGAATGTTGGAGTTTTGGAAGAAAGATTTTTCCTTTGGAAAGTAAAAATATTTTGGTCTTCTTTTCTCCAGAATTTTTTTGAAAGATGTTAATTTTTTCTCTCTTTCTGCAGAATTATATTTTAAAGATACCTTTCTCGCACATTGAAATGGAAAGAAATGCTCATGATTTTTCTGTAAATCAGATAAAATTCAGAGGAAATTCCTAAAAAAGAAAAAAAAGTAAGAATTTTATCCGATTTACAGAAAAATTTAGTTACCAAAAAGTATTTGCAATCAGACTCCCTGTGGCAGAATTGTCGTGACAATGTCACAGAATGTTGGAGTTTTGGCAGAAAGATTTTTCCTTTGGAAAGTAAAAATATTTTGGTCTTCTTTTCTCGAGAATTTTTTTGAAAGATGTTAATTTTTTCTCTCTTTCTGCAGAATTATATTTTAAAGATACCTTTCTCGCACATTGAAATGGAAAGAAATGCTCATGATTTTTCTGTTTTCATTCCAGAAAAAAAGAGAAATTCGGAAATGACTAGCTGGCTTCGACTAGAATTTCAAATAAATAATATGGAGAGAAAAAAATCAGAAATCGCGAAAGTTTAAGAGATAGTTCGGTTTAAGAATGATGTTCTTCCTTTCATTTCCTTAAAGAACACCCTATTTTACACACATTAATAAAAAATATGACTGTAAGCAAGGATTTTTTTACTAACTAAGATTTGTAGCAAAAGAATTAATCATTCAATTACATTTGTCGCTTTTTTTAAAAAATTTGAAATGAAATCTTTTTTTTTGTTGGTTAAAATGAGATCTATTCTATATTTCTAACATAATGTTACACATATAAAAATTTTAAAACACACGTTTGAGTTTTTACTTTACAGCTCCTAAATCGTACTGATTCATAAAAATTATTTAAAAAACTATATAGTTTCATTCTGTTCAAGTAGGGCTTTTCTTTTGTAAACGCAATGCTTTTGTTACTTTAAATTAGTAATTGTTATTATTAAAAGTATCTTGCAGAAAGATATTAGGTAAATGGAAGCTTGTCGCAGAAAGCCTGAAAAAATTCAGTCACAGATCTCAAGACTTAGCTTTTTGAAATTTTGTCTAATTTTTCTACCCAAAAATATTTAATACGAGAAGAACAGATTAGAAAATGAATTCATTGTGGTTTATCAATAAAAATTCATATAAAATAGATCCTTCATTATCAAAATTCTAACATCCAGTATTTTGGTTACATTAAGAGGTTTGAAAACCATAAGAATTAATAATAGAACTAAGTGATGAATTATGCAACAAAAATATTACCTCATCTGAAGCTAAATGACTGACTAGGAACTTAAGCTTATGACTATTTGTGGCCAATCTGTCGCTAGTATCAATACCAATTCTTCTACAGACACTCTAAAAAAATTATCGGTGATTATAGTGTTGTACATTCAGATAACAAAAGTTACTAAAACAGCATTTTTTGGAAAACTTATAATTCAAAATACTGATGAATTAAATAGCTCTGGTAATGACACTTAAATTTAAATCATTAACATAACTATAACTAATTTGTACTAAAAATTACAAGAAATAAATATACAGTGAAAAATTTTACTAAATTTCTTTTAGCAGAAAATCAAATATCAGTCAAGCAAAAACTCTGGAAAAAGTCTCTTTTTTTTCAAAAATGTTAACTTAAATGCCTTTATTTTGCTTTATGAAGAATAATGTAATCTTATTTTTAATAACTGTCATAAACAGTCAAATTAATAAAATATTTTATTACATATACTACTATTTTATATATAGTTTTATATTATTAGTTATACACACCAGGTTATTTTATCAAAGAAAATATCAAAAATCGACTAGTCATTAAGGAGAGATCTTTTTAATGAGATTTGATTTATTAAATTAATGAAAAATGATCATTCACGCTTAGAATTTATATTTAATATAAACAGCATGAATTTTTTAAAAAAACAATACTTAAAAAATGAAACAAAAGTGACTATAGCAAAAAACACATAGATGAATGTACATAAAGTTGATGAAATGCACAAATGAAGGGTTGTGGTTCATTCATGTTGTTTTTTGCGTTAGTCTACATCGACATAGCACAAAATTAACCCAATCCTTTGCTGAATAGAAAGTGACAAAAAAAAATTTCATTGATGTTATGAGGATAAGACTAAAAATTATAGTTATTGTAATGCTATAATTTTTGCTACAACACTGCTACATAAATTAATTTTAAAACTTTAACTCAAGCGATTTCAAAAGAAATTAGAATTCATAGCAAATACTGAATGAAATGCTAAAATCTGATATTTACATGCATTAAGTTGTATTGTATTATTTTTAATTTCACTTCAAACTAAGATGTTATTTTATGCTCATAAAAATTTAAATATTATTTATTATACATATTACAAGCCTTAAAAAATTCAAAAAGCATTTTTAGAGTAAAAACACAATTTTTTTAACAAAAACTTTTATGGACTAACAAAGTAAAATAAGAAAGGTATTTTTAATTATATATTTTTTTTTAATTTTAAGGCACATTCCATAGACAATACAATTTAAATTGTGAAACTGATCTCTCATATCTAATCTCTCCTAAAATATGCATATTTTTAAAACTGCACAATGTGTTGACAAAGTATGAAACAGTTTAAAAAATAAAGTGAAAAAGAGAAGGTGGAGAAAAACATCAAGTATAACAAAGGAAATAAAAAGAGTTTTAAAATGCGATTGAACAAATTTACAAAATAACAGTAGCCATTAAAATTGTAACAAACAGGGATGAGATTAGTCAAAAGGCAAAAAAGCTGAATTTCCACGATTGTAAATTTTACGCAAGCGCAGTCCATTAATAATAAATTCCAGACAGTTTAAGGTAATAAATAATGTGTTGATATACAATTGCGTACTAATCTATTATTATAAAAACGACAACATTGATACCTAACATTTAGTGAAAATAAAAATTACCAATTGAAAAAATAAAGCTGGAAATTATATTTTTCCTCAGTTCACATAAGAGACAATTATTACTTGAAAAACTACTTGGTTTAGCAAATTAAAACTACTGAGAATATACATTAATATTTCATTTCTTTTAATAAATACTGTTATGTGATTTATAGCAAATATATCAGTAATATTACTTTTTAAATTATATTGGAAAAAAAAACTTTAACAATGGACCGAATCATTATGTTCATATTATAGTCTAATCTAACTAGAGCCCTCTGAAACATATCAATAACAGTGAAGTAGAAATATATAGTAACTCCTTAACATACAAAAATTGCTATTTTAGTTTGAAAAATTACATGACAATCAGCAACTGTTTAGATAATTGTTTTTTATTTGATAAGAATTTTGCATTTTATAGCATAAATAACAGCAATTATAAATAAAATTTTGATGATGAGTTAATTAACTCTTTTTCCCCCAAAATTTTTTTTTAATTAAATCCCTTTTTAAGTGATTGCTTTTGTTTGCTATATCTTTTATGTTTGCTATATTTAGTCGTTAGTCCATCTTCAAACATCTTGTGACAAATCCTATTTTTTCTTCTTTGCAAGCACAGAATGTAAGTTTTGAATATATTCCCTTCCAGTTTCTCTGATGTTGTAACACTTACATATACTAATAATCGTCGTTAGAAAAACAGTCACCTTTATAGTAACTAATTTTAAAAAAAATTTACTTCTTACAAGAATCGCGATAGTTGATCTTAAAATTGCGTGAATATGAATAACAATTATGGATTTTGAAATCACATGAATATGAAACTAGATATACGATTTTGAAAATGAGAAAATACAAACTGGGATATAGAATTTTTAAAACGCGTAAATACAAATCACGATTCATAATTTTTAGATCGCGTAAATACGAATCATGATGCGTAATTTTTAGATTGCATAAATAAGAATTATGATGCATAATTTTTAGAATGCGTGAATGCGAATCCCAATGCCTTATTTTAAAATCACGTATAAATACGAAAATCAATGTTTGATATTATAAACCGCATGAGCAAATCAAGACATTGAATTTTAAACTTGCGTGAATACGAATCGCTTCATAGGTTTTTAAAAAGGCGTAAATACGAATCACAACGTACAATATTCAAATCGCGTGAATAAGAATCTCAACACGCAAATATGAAAAGCTATGTTTGATATTAAAATCGTGTGAATAAGAATCGAGATATTGGCAGATTCCAGGCTTGGGACCTCTAAAAGGCTTGTCAGAAACAGCGTCGTCTGAACTACAAAAATCGGATCTATCTGGAGGGCGGGTAAAAAATTCGGAAAATCTTATCCGCTGCGAGTAAAAGGGGAGAAAATAGCTAAAATAAGTAAAAATGAGAAAGGATTGGTAGTTATGTAGTTTGAATTTTCTGTTTCTCTTTGAAAACGGGTGAATTTTCTGAAAAAGCGGAATACTTATAAAAAAAAGTGAAATTTTTAGAAAAATCTGAATTTTTGATAAAAAAGCTGAAATTCAAGAGATAAAAGTGAAAAAAGCGGAAATCAGCTAAAAAGCGGAAAAATCTCATCCCTGAACAAATAAATAATGAATAGAAAGATCAGAAATTGCAATATAAAACAAGAAACCTACAGTTTTCAAACAAAGAAACAACAACGAAAATTGAAACATAATCAGTAAAAATATAAAACATTCAAATCAGACAAAACATAGGAAATTTGATACATAATCAGTAAAAACATAAGCCATTTGAAACAACCAATAGCAGAACATGACATTTCAAAATAAACTAAATGTTTGAAATAAAGCAAATGTCTGGCATATAGATCTGATTTACCTGAATTGAAAAACATTATTATTTTGATGGTAATAGATTATTTTAAAGACTGCTGTGATTTAGAAGCCTTGTTACCTTTTTTTTATTAATTTGTAAATACAAACACTCATGAGTTTTCTAAGATAAGTCCATGTTCATAAGGTGGCCCTTTAAAAGCCATAATTTACCATGTAAATTGGCTACATATTATAATATCAGTGATGAAATACAAAACAATGAAAATTAATGCTCAAATATGAATATCTACTCACAGATATCAATCGTCTTAGTTTAGTGTCAAAATCAGTTGAATTATCAATAACATCAATATATGGATGCCCAACCCATGCCTAAAAGTAAAAAAATTAAGGATTAATCTTAGAATAATCAATACACTCATACAGTTTTACTCAATTATCAACAGTTACCTCGGCTGCTCTTGAATCTCTAACTCTAGCTAGTTCAATACCTTCAGTACGACAGCTGTTATCTTCCAGATTATAAAATTCTTCAGCTCCATCAGCAGCTGTAATCTAAAAAATAAAATAAAAATTCAAGTATTTAATTCGTAAGCCTTTGTAGAATTATTTAAGAAGCAGCTTGGGGAAACTTAAAGTACGATTTAGAAGTTCAAGATTTAGTAAGAAAGAAATTTCGAAGTTTTAGATTTAGTAAGAAAAAAATTTCAAAGTTTTAGATTCCCTGTAGCAGGGCTCGAAAACCACCCGTCCTCAGCAGTCAAAAATTCCCCGCGGACAACAAATTTCTTGAATCTGACGTCCGCATGGACAGCCATTTTCCCGTTAATGTTCGTGATGCATTTTCAATTTTTGTTATCTTACAAGAGTCTAGCGCCTCACTTCTAAAATGACCCTCTAATCTCGAAATACAGCAACATACTGTGTATGGTGGAATTGATGTTTTCTCTGTCGGTGAGTACTGCAGCGGTTTAAAGGGGCTTTTCAGCAATAAACTTACAAAAAAAAACACATTACGTACTGGTCTTAAACAAGAAGCATTAAACGCAATCATGAACATCTACCTAAATGGAAAACCCCTTTCAGATGTCTGTGCAGAAACCTCTGTAAATCATTGGCTTGTGGAACAGGCAAACCTCATATTTGATTCATTTAAAAAAACGCAGTACCCTCGGATAAATTGACATTCCAGAACTTGACCTTTGTCATTTAAATTATTTCATAAAAGAAATACTAAGTTACTATTAGTTGCCTAGTATTTCTTTTATTACTGTATAATGTAATCCTAGTATTTGTAATCCTAGTAACTACTAATTCATTGTGCAATTTATATAAATGTTTGAATAAAATAAGAGAAAATTATATTTTTATTTATTTAGAAGATACGGGTTAGTTTCAAAGGAGGACGGGTACATTGTTGGACAAGCCGTCCTCGGGGACGGGCAAAATTTCTGAGTTTTTTCGAGCCCTGCCCTGTAGGATTTAATTTGGCTCAAGCACATTTAGCTTTTAAAGTGTCATTTGTCACATGAAAGCAGGCTTAATTCATAATATTATTAAAGGCATAATAATTAACAATTAAATTTAATTTTAAATTACTTTGCAATGTATCATACTTACATCAACATTGCTAAATTGTTAAAATAAATAATGCAACACAATATTGCGCTAGTAGAACAAACTTATTTAATAAAGATGATAAGAACAAGAATATGAGCCGAAGTAGAAGATTTAGCACAAAGTGTACAATACAAAAAATTTAAAATAAATAAATAAATAAAATAGAATTTATTGTTTGTTTTTTTAAAATTATGCCGGCCATCGTCTTCTCAGATATAAGGTGTCTTGCAGTCCAATACAATAGTGAAGTAGCTCCAGAAGATGAGAGGGAGAATTTATTATAAATCTCTCACAAATTTAATTCTTATACGAAAATGTATTTCAAAAAATACATTTCCATGACAAATATATACTTTGTTAAAAAAAAATGAAAGTGATATCTTTATCTTTAATGAAAAAAAATAAGAATCATTTTAATTAATATAAAGGAAATATCTGCAGATTTTTCAAGGAAAATCTTCAGTGGCGTAGTATTTGTTAAAAAGTGAAACAGATGATGACAATTTAAAACTTTTACGGAAAGATTTATATTTGTTAAGGAATAGCGATTGCAAAAATAGCAATTGGTAAATCACACGGACTTATATATTGATTGAAATTGACTTTAATTGTTGTCTATTTGTTATTTTTATTGAATAAAGATGTTTTAATATGTTTACCTTAAAGACCTATTATTCGGAAAAATCTATTTCCCGGTCTTGCCAAAGTCCCGACGATTCCGGATATGGGACTTTCCACTATATACAATTTTAATAAAGAACTCAAATAAGAATAAAGTTCTACAATAATAAGCAAGACAATAAGACAAAATACAAATTATAAATCAATATACAAATTCTTTGAAGAAATAAAAGACAATTTCATATATTTCTTTACAAATGCATAAAGATAAATCTTATCTTACCAAATGAGTAACTTGATTGTATCGGTTATCTCTTAACTGTACAGCATTCCAACCGTTTGCAGAGAGCATCTTTTCCCACACTTCTTTAGGTATAACTTTAAAAGAATACTTTGATAAATATATGAAACACACATTGGAAAAGATATAAGTGTTACAAATAAACTAGTTAAAAAATTAATTGAATAAATTTAAGCCATTTCTTTTTAATATCATTAAAAAGTGAATCTAACTAAATCATATTATTTAGGGCAAAAATGTTAAGAATGAGTTATTTTTGAGCTATGTATAAATTATTTTGGGGGGAAAGTACTCAAAAATCACTTATACTAAGTCACTTTGCAAACTACATATTTTTTAGACCTAAGAATTTTGTGATAAAATACAAATACAATCAACAACAAAAAAAAATTTTTAAATATTTTTTGATTTAATGATTGAATTTTCACACACTAAAACCAGGGATGAGAGCAGTCAGAAAGTAAAAAAGAGGAAATCCAAAAATGAATATATATATAACTTTTATAATTACTCAGATATTTTTAAAAATTATGATTTTTGGAAGCATTTAGGAGAAAAAGTCTTTTTTTCTTCATTTGGAAAAGAAAGCATTGTTCGAAAAAATATTTCTCTAATTTAGTTACATAGAAAATATTGTAATATATCATGAAAAAACTTATATCTTCTAATGATATATTGCAATTTTAAGAATCCTGATATCGCCCAGTACTAGTATCACCCAGTAAGAAACTAACATAGAAAAACTTTGAGAAGCTAGAAGTGCACCTGGCCAATGAAAAAGAAAATTTATAAAACTATTATATTCAGCACTGCTACGAACAAGAATTTTTTTACTTACTTATCAAAATCTAGCTATACACATAATACTAGCAAATCCAGCTATACATACAGTAAATTCATCTTTAAATCGAATGGATGTTTGTTACTAGTTATCAATTCAGTTCAAAACTAAGCACTTACATTATTTACAATTCATAGAAAGGTAACTTATGTTCCACAAAAAATGCATTATGCGGAATACAAATTTCCTGATACTCATATTCCAATAATGAATTTATTTCAATCTTTTCATCCATTTATCATGTTTTCTTTTCTTTTTTTAAAATTTTTTTTCCTTTGTTTAAAACAGCTCTTTCAAGCCATTTTCATAAACAAAGGCGTAGCCAATTTATTCAACAAAAAATAAGCACTTTTCAAGCACTCAAAAAATATTTTTAAGCACTTTAAAAAAATATAATTAGGCAGGGTTGGAAAGTTTTGGACAATTGATGGTTTTATCAGGGGCAGATTAAGCGTACGCGGAGCCCTAGGCCATTCAAATTTTTGGGTCCCTTAGATTCCATTTTTATCTCATATATTTTTTATTTATTCAAATATAAAAGTATTTATATATCCTTATTTTCATTTAAGAAAACATATGTAAAATAAATAATAATAAATTAAATTTTACTTTACATAATTAAATTAGAACTAAAAAATAATCATAACATTTTGAAAAAACATTGTTTTTCCTAATTTTTTTAAATTTATTGTAAAAAAAAATCCATTTTATGGGGCCCCAGGCCATGGCCTAATTGGTAATCCGGCCCTGGGTTTTATCTTGTTTTAACCGCCATGTCAAAAATCATGAAATTTTGAATCATGTGAAACAAATGGTGTTTTCATTCGCTACGGACTGAGAATGCGCCGAAATAGATTGGGGTTGAATTAATTGTGAAAATGTTGAATCGAACAATGTGAACTGTGTCTTTTTGCATAATTCGAAGCAAAAATCAACATAGTAATTTTTATATAGTTTTACATAGTATTTCAACATAGTTATTTCATAAGGAGTAAAAAAAAACAAATTTTTAAAAGGAGTATTTTTAAACCCAGTAAAAAAATTTTAAGGAGTAGAAATCAAATCCTAAGTGTGAATTACACATTTATATGTGTATTGGTAAACTCTAATGGGCGGGTATTAGTACTGGAATAAATATCATTTTTTTTCCATAGANGGAAAAATCTCATTTTGAAAAAGGGAAAATTAAGCACTTTTTAAAAACACCCAATGAAAAAAGCACTTTCAAGGGCATTCATTAACGCGCCAATTAACACCTTTAATGGAGGCATAAAAAACGTATCCTTAGAGAAAAAAAAATAATGACAGGTCACTCCATCGCTTCAAAGATGGCATTTTGGATTTTATTCTATTTGCAGTTGCACAATCTCTTTCAAAAGTGGCTGCAGTCATTGGCACTGTTAGAGCAACAGCAATTAATTTACTAAATTCAGAACAAATTAAAAGGGTGTGTGTAACTCACTCTACTTTCATTGGTTTATTTCCTAGGGATTATTTTTTTCATAAGGAGTAAAAAAAAACAAATTTTTTAAAAGGAGTATTTTTAAACCCAGTAAAAATTTTTCAAGGAGTAGAAATCAAATCCTAAGTGTGAATTACACATTTATATGTGTATTGGTAAACTCTAATGGGCGGGTATTAGTACTGGAATAAATATCATTTTTTTTCCATAGATAACAAAAAAATATAATGTCAAACTTTAATGCAAGCAATTTAATGAATTATAGAGAACGTTAATGAAAAAATAAAAGAGAAAAAAAGTTTATGGCTAATGGAAATAAATTAATCATAGAGAAGATTAAAGTTATATAATTACAAGCAGCTGCATCCATAGTGCCTCGGTCACATATTACCAAGCANTTCGACGTCAAAAACCCAACTCTGTAGAGAACGTAATGAAAAAATAAAAGAGAAAAAAAGTTTATGGCTAATGGAAATAAATTAATCATAGAGAAGATTAAAGTTATATAATTACAAGCAGCTGCATCCATAGTGCCTCGGTCACATATTACCAAGCAGTTTCGATCGCATGTCTCTGCTAAGGAAAAATATGTTTCTTCCATTGCCATCATAGTTTTCAGCAAATTTTCTTGAAATTTTTCAGCTTTAAAAAGAAATTTTTAGAAATTAGAGGATTGAAATATTTTAAAGTATCTATTAAACTTAAGTTATATATTCAAACTACAGCAGTGCAATGAATACCTTTTCATAAATATCTATTTTTCTAAAATATCAAAAATGAGTTAAAACTACAAAACATACAACAAAAAAAATTACATATTATGTTCAAACTACAATTTCATACAACTTTTCAAATAAAAATTAAGAAAATATAAATAAAATTTGGATAAAATAGCAATGTGTAATTATGTTAAGCACAAATATGTAAAATATACACAAATAAAACAAGAAGTATAATAAGCATGCTATATTATTAAATCACCTGGTGTAAGTCTGAATTTAGAACTTTTTTTAGAACATTTTTCAGTTCTAACTAAAAAATAAAAATAGATTACAAATAAAGTTAAATACTACAAAATGCAATGTCAAAAGTGTGAAAATAAAAATAATCAAGAACAATAGCCACTAAAAAAATAAACAAAAGCAAAGTAAAAAGTAAAGGAAAAAGCCACAAAACATATTAAAAACAGAATAGAAATTAGCGAAATGGTTAGACAATATTTAAAGCATACCCTCACTGGGAGTTAAATCTGGAAAACGTACACCCCCACTGGAAAAGAGCAAGAATTCTTAGAAGTGAAATAGAACAAATATGCTTTTTAACATACAATAAACAAATATGCTTTTTAAGAGATACAGTAAACAAATATACTTTTTAAGATACAGTAAACAAATATACTTTTTAAGAGATACAATAAACAAATATACTTTTTAAGAGATACAATAAACAAACATGGTTCTTGATAGAATATCTACCCATTTTTGACTGAAAAATGATTCTAAAGCTTATGTCTATGTTAGCTCTAATGTCTTAATTTAAAAAAAAAATTGGGTGACTGCTTGTTGCAAACAAAATGTACACCAGTATTACACAGAGAATATTACTAATATGTTTTAAAATAAAGAACTGGTATGAAATTACAATAGAAATTGTATGTACGTCAGTAATATGTTAATTTATACTAAACCACAAAATTAATCACTTTAAATAAATAAAATTAGTAGAAATAATTTAATGTAGAATAAGCGAGTTTCAATTACTATTTGTAACATACAGAGTTGAGTAATAAATGCTTTGTCTAGAAAAGTGTCAGCACCAAATTTTTTGCAACATCAGTCGGAAATAGGGAACTATTAAGTTAAAAACAAGAATTAAACAATACTAATCTTATACAATTTAAGTAAAGAAATCATATATTCTTTCCCGAGACTACCACCAAAGATAATAATTTTACTTAATACTTTGTCTGAAGTATAATTGAAGTTAAATTTAAATTATAAATATATATTTGTATGAAAATATAGTTAAATTACACAAAAATACTTATGACTAAAAGAAACACCTTAATGCACCAGTTGTAGTTACTTTAGCTCTATAAAAAAAATTTCTCTTTTCGAATATTTCTTATGCATGATAAAAAAATTTTATCAAAGTTTTGTTTTTATAAAAATTTAACCTATTGAACTACAACATTTCTCCCACATTAAAAGCAAATTTTAGCCACTTTTTTTGTATAAAGATAATTGCTAGTTAGCAAAATTAATTTAAGTTGGGCCTATCAAAATCAAAACAAAAATTTTTGAACAAGCATTGGTGTTTTAATTAAAAAGTCAACAAATCAATTTAAATCATAAATTAATAACAATTTTCTTTTTCATATACACTAAAACTTCTAACCTTTGAATTTGGTACCATTTACAATTAATGTTTCATGGAACTGTATTTAGTAGTTAAATTATAATCCCAAACCATTCAAAAAACTAAACATTTTCTAAATGAAGTAATTGTGTGGGATTGGACTGGATCTTGAACAATTTATATCAAATTATCACTCATAATTAGTGAGGGAAACAATTTAGTAAGGAGTTAATATAAATAGTATAATTAGCTTTGTAATAAGGAAGGATGGTATTAACGACTGTCAATACGTTGCTTAACTATTTTTATAGAGACATAAGATTCTAAAAAAGCTACTTTTAGGGTAAAATTGTGCCTTTCAAAACAGAAACAAATATTCAAAGGCTCATGAAGAGTTATTTTTCTTGAATACAGAATAAAAAAAATTGAGTAATTAAAAAAATATAGTTTGTCATGAGTGCAATAAGAACANACTATTTAATAAATAAAAATATTTTCACAGTAAAATTTATGAGCACTAAATGAAAAAACCCAATTTTCCCCGGGTTTTTTCAAATAAAACCCAATTTTCCCCGGGTTTTTTCAATAAAACCCAGGCGGGTTGGGTTTTTTCAAAAATCCCCGGGTTTTTTCAAACCCTGCATGAGTGCAATAAGAACATCAATTAATTTTTGCATTTTCATAAAGATACCCTAAGAATTTTTTTAAATCTAAAATCCTGACAATTTTGTTAAAAAAATTTCTCATGAAGTGTAAAGAAAACTATTTTATAACATTAATATTATAATCTTCTATTATATATATGATTTTAAAATGTTTTTTTAAACTACAATATTTAATTTTTCTTGATTAAATTTATGAATTATTCCCTCCTTTCCCCTGTGAATCATTCAAGATAGAAGAAGCCAACAATGTAAGCTGCTATGGGCATCCATCAATAAGAAGCTTTACCCGTATAATTAGAAAGAATCTACTAATAAAGAGACAGAATCAAGAAATACATCAAAAAGTTAAATTATTTTTAAATTTTTTCAGTGTTAAAATTTCAGTTTCAAAAATGGCGAAAAATGAACAATTATGCAGTATTACTTTTGTATTTCAGACAATAGAGGAATTTACCTGGAAAAAATAGTAAGATATTTTTATTTCCTACGCATTTATGTTTTCTGGGGTGTTGAACATGAATCTGCATTTTACGACCAAAAATTTTTTTAAAAAATATTTTCTGCAGGAAAAATCCTTATTATTTTTTTTAAAATATAACTCTTTGATTTAAGAAAGAAAATTTCTGATGGCTATGACAGCTAGAAAAAATTTCCTATAAATTTTATACCTACTATGCCCCTAAAGCAATAAATCAAAGAATTATGAATATGAGAATAATGACTGCGACAATAGAATGCCTCTCACACTGATTCAATTGACAAAAGTAATTAATAAAAGTTTGGAATTTTATAAAAATTCTTTTGTGGGATCTAGTAACCCTCCAGAATTTTAGTATTTCCACCCAATAGAGAAAACTCCCCTTCTACTAATAATCATAATTTTCCTTAAGCGTTCTTAAAAATATACTTTTTAATGTCTCTTCCATTTTTTAATTTCCCCCAACAAAACCAGCAGACTCATCGGCATCATAAAAGAGCTGAAGGACCTCCTCACACAATGATGCAGTCCTCAGAAAAAATTTACTCGTGAAATGTGGATTCATTTTTAACACTCCACAAGAAACATAAATACACAAAAAATAGAAAGTCACACCAAATTTTCCAGGTAACATACATTTTTTAGCTTTATTGCCTGGACTGTTAGACATTAAAAAAATTCAATAATAATAACATTATACTAAAACAAGTTTTAAAAACTTACTTTAATAAGACAGTTGCAGCCTCCGGCACTCGATACACCTGAAATATTTAAAATTATTAATTCATTTTTTATTACTCTCGTAGCCAAAATTACAAATTAAAATAACCAAAAATATTGATACAGTACATACAATTCATGCAATTGTGATAATAAATTAATTAAATGTTACAAAGGAAATCATAATGGTTAATCAGCTTTCACGTAAAATGCATTGAACAGGGTGCATAGCCAGATAATTCAACAAAAGATAAGCATCTTTTAAGTATTTTTTAAGCACTCAAAAAATATTTTTAATCACTTTCCAAAAAAAAAAAATAATAATCATAATTAGGATCTGTGCAGTAATAAAAACTATTTTTTCCTATCGTTTAAAGTTCTTAATTTATAAACATAGAATTCAAAAACATTTTCAAAGACTTTACATAATTATGATAAAATAACTAGTTTCTGATAAATATTGCAGAAAAAAGTGCGAAAATCGCGCTTTTTTTGTAATTTAGAACGACAATTGATACAGCAAAGAAAAAATCTCTTTTTTAAAAGATAGAAAATTAAGTCCTTTTTACAAACCTTGAATGAAAAAAAGAATTTATCTATAAAATATACTGAAGCTTTCAAGATTTGTCGAATGAACTTTAGAGCAGCAATTATTAATTGATAAATAATGTGATCAGTGTTTTCACTACAGCGCGAGAATCTTGCATACTCGCATTAAAAAATTATTATCGCGAGAAATTCGCGCATTCTATAAACCAATCTCAAAATTCGTGAATTTCTTGCATTTTGAAAAAAAAATTCTCATTGCACCATTTAGAATGAAATTCGTTTCACTTTCCTTACTGGATCTTTCATTATTTTCAACATCTGCCCCATTATCTAGCTTCCCTATTTACCAGTATTGTTCAGAACCGTTAAGAACAACAGAACACCATCCCTCGGAACCTCTTTCAGAACGCATTTCTCTGTAACCACGTGTTTACCGTAGGTAAGGTTTCTCCATGTAAGAAGTTCAAATTTTTTGCGTATTAATTAAGATGGACAAATACCTTGTAAAGGCAATATCTTCTACTCCGAAACGGACAAATGAAAATGAAACAAATGTGGGTAGAAACGATCAAAACGAAACAAACACGCATTTGAGCAACCTAATGAGAATAGCTGATGAAAAAGTAGATGTAGAACATTTTCCATATGATGATGCAAAAAAAGTATTCAATGCTTTAAAAATTAGAAGATGTTAAAAATGTATTATAATTAAAGAAATGATTTTTTTTTCAAGTCTCTTTGTGTTTTTTTTTTTTATTTTAATTTTTGAAATCTCACTTAACTTTTTGAAATCTCACCCTGTTTTTGAGAAAGGGTGAGAAATTCTCACCCATTTTTTTTCTGCGATGAAAACACTGGTGATGATATACCTAAATGAAAGTATCTTGAAAATTACAAAAAATACATGTAAATTAAAAAAATAATCTTCTAAATTTCATGGATGCTTTCAGTAAAATGACTTTAAATTCACAGAAATAATAACAATGCAATTTATTGGTCAATGTATGTAGCTATGAATATGCCGATCTAATTGTACAATTAACATATCTCTTCATCTCTTTAAAGTACATAAATAAAACACATTTAATTATGTTTAAATTATCTATAGGTTACCAATAAAACAGACATTAAACATAGATTCATTTTATACAAATTTTACAGTAAGATGAAGGGAAAAAGGCTATTGATATAAAAAGATACAAAAATTTAAAATTAAATGTGACACTTGTAACAATTCTTCACCTTCCATCCAAGATTTTCAAAAAAAGTACATAGCCTAGCCTGGCCAGTTGTTTTGCCACTACAAGGTCCTAAAATACATAATTAAGAAAATATTACTAAATACTGCATAGTATATACAAATAATAATATTCCTAAAAAAATGAACACCTTGATTAATTAACATAAATAATAAATTATTAAAAGGCTCTTACAAATAAAAGCTTTATTGCAATAGATTCTCGAGTTTACAAACAATTAAAACAACATAGCTACACTTTTTAATGCAAGAATAATATAACATCTACTATATATTCTGGTATATAAGTTGACTTTTCCAAAACACAAACATTTTATGAAAATCAGGGTGTTAACTTATAAATCGGTAATAAAGTTGAACATTCATTGAAAGCAGGGGTGATTGTAAGCCCAAGTCAAAATTCCGGAAAAATTCTTGAGTATAAAAAAAAAAAAAGTTTAAATCGAATAATTCGAAAAAAAATTTAACAAGGTTTTTTTCCTTTTTCTCAACATTTCTTAGTTTACTTAAAATATATTTAAAATTTTACACATATTTTTGAAAGACCTGGAGAAGTAATTGAAGTTTACAAATATGTCTTTCGTTCTTGAGTTTATAATTATAATAACTATTTACTGATAAAAAATGAATATTAATCTTGAATATAAGCTTATAAAGTATCCGGCTCTCCCATACAAATAAATAAAACAAACTGTGTTTTTAAGTTCCACCTTTGAAAATTTGATTTCCGGAAACTTTTGTGATCAACGACTTTTTTTAACGTCTAAACCTTCGATCTCTGGAAACTTCCGGATCATAGTTAGCGAAAAATCCGGAAATCCGGACTTTTTCCGGAGCACAATCAGCCCTGTTGATAGTGAAATATTGATGCATCAAAAACAATGAGATAGATATAAATAACTCTGTATAAATGTACCCCTTCCAAAAACTATTTTTAATACATTACATACACTTTGTCTTAATCACTTTGTATTTAAGTACATATAGAGAGCTCAATTTTGTATTATTTGTACAGATAGAGAGTTCAGTTTTGTATTATTTGTACATATAGAGGTTTTATTTTAGAAACAATTTGAAGAAAAGGAACAAAATTAAAAATGAGAAAAGTTACGTAAATTTATTAAAATAGTTCAAAAAATGTAAAACAGTGAAATTTTTTAAAACACACCATAAAGCTACACATTTAAATATTCCAGAACATCATATGTCTTGAATTCAATAACATTAGCAGTTTTACTCCTAGGGAAAACTCTGTGAAATACAAACTATGTTGAAGATATTTTTGTATCTGTAACTGTTTGCACCTAACTAGCAAAAAAGATTTTTTTTAAAAATTGAAGTTGGCTAAGGGGCAACTATGAATATCACATTTTGAATTAGTCAGTTTCTGAGTTGGTTTTTTTTATTTAATAGTGAACCACTGTCCAGAAGTTGCTGAAACTTGGCGTTAATTTTGGCATAGATATTGAATGCATTACGCAAATTTTCCCACCAGAACTGCTGTTCGCGAAACATTTGTCACCATCTCAGAACATTTTTTTACTATTACTAAAAAAGGAATAAAAACTAATCTGCCTCTTCAAAGAAAGCTTGCCTTTTTCATTTTAAAATTAAACATTCAGATTCATATTTAAACATCTTTAAAATTAAATGTTGAGATTCGCACTCGCGTGATATTAAAATCACACATTGAGATTCATATTCATACAATTTAATTAAATAAAATCTGGCAACAATATTTTTATTAAAATAATGTTTCCTACAGAAACTTTTTTTCTCACTTAAATTTCAGAAATTTTTTCAATTACTTAAAAAGTGTTTTGCATATAACATTTTGGACTTCTATTTTCAGCTTTTTTAGTATTTCACCAAACTCATCCCTGTGATATCAATCAATACTATAAAAATTATACATTTTTAAAAAAATCAGTCATTTTCAAACTATTTTAGCCAAAATGGGAAGTCAACAAAAGATTGAAAATAACGGTTACAAGAGTTAATCAATGAGTACAGAAAGTTTAATTGAGATTTTGTGTTTCGTTTGTTTGAGATGTTGAGAAAGTTTTTTCATTTTATCTTAACTCTGCTTCCCACTGTGGTATAAAAAGAAAAGTTCGTTTCTATACCTATATTAATTTCAGTAAGAATAAAAAAGAATTATCGCACAGCTCAATAACATATGGGTTTTAATTTGTCTAAGTTTGTTAGCATACATCATAACAAATGTTCATCATTACAATTTGATGAAATTAATTTTTGTATCAATGTAATATAAAATAGATAATCTAGAGTGAATATTCTGTTTTTTCTTTCTCACAGATTCAATTTTTTTTTTATTTAACTCTTTCTACTAAGTAACAAATAATAGTATCAATACCCTTCTTCAAAATAGAGGTAAAATAATAGCTAAACGTATCGATAGTCATTAATATTTATTCCCTCCTGAAGGCCAAACTATGGGTAGATTTCCGTAGTGAGCCAAGTCTTGGATACTTCCACAGTGGCCCACAAAAAACTTGGGGAAAAAGAAAAGAAAAAAAAACACAGGCAATCAATTTGAAGGGTATAAGTCATAGCCTTATAAGTCATACACCTGACGTAGTATAAGTTGTATGTATTTTTTTAATAAAATTTACTAGTTTAAAATCCATTTGGTGCCTTGGCGATTTGTGATCGATTGTGGTATATGCCACAATAAATCACAAAATGGAAATATTCCACAACTACTGTTGACACTAGTGATGCCTCATTATCTACGTTAACAGATACTTAATATACTATAACTAAGGTAAATGTCAGTTTTTATAGCTCTCGAAACACAATATTATAGTATCTACCCAAGTCATCTGCTGTAACCTTAAGACACTACAACAGATATATTAGGCGATTATCTTAATTGGTACAAGCACATTAAATAAATGTAGTTCGACTCTAAGAAAACAACAATGCAGGTTTAAAATTAACAGTTGAAAAATACAAAATCGCATAACCTTGTAATTTAATATCTTCATTTACATTCTAACCTTAAACTTCATAAGATACAGAGATAGCTGAAAAAATATATTTAACACTATTGAATTAAAAGAATACCAATAACAATTGGAAATTGAAAACATTAGTGAAAATGAAAACCCCTATGTGCACAAAACCCTTATGTGATTAATGATGTAAAGAAAACAATAAAATATATGCTACAGTTAAATAATATGAATAAATAGCAATTAAAAGAGTGATACACATCTCTTTTGAACATTTGTTTAATTCAGTTTACACAGATAAAGAAAATGCTCGATATAAAAAATGGAAGGTCTTTAATTGTAGTACCTCCAGTTAAGACTAGCCGATACACCGTTTTTTCTTTCTTTTCCGGATCAAGTGTCATTATCAAATGATTGTTGAGTCGATACTATACATTTATTTATTAACACCCTTAGTTTTGTAATATTTTAGTGCTCATTTGTTTATGCAGAAACGTGTTTATGTTCGCGCAAAATAATATTCCGGTTATGTTGCAGTTAAGCTTCCTTTTAAAAAATTTAGAACAATTTTTGATCTAAACAAATATGTCTAGATGAAATATTTTATTTGATTCTAAACCAAAAAAAAATTTTCAGACAGAATGTAGATCAGTTTTGGATATAGTTTTTGATTTTGTGAATTTAATGAATTCATTCAGACTATTTTTTTATAAATGGCATCAAAGTTTTTGTCCGGTTAAAGTTAAAAAAATTTCTGCCGGCTTAGTGTGAGAATTTAGGAAATTGAAAGCTGTGTATTATTGAACTTAAGTTGCATTTTAATACATTACTGTTATATTGCATCAATTTATTATAAGTCATTATGAGTAAAGCACAACCACCCGAGCTTAAAAAGTAACTATTTTATTAGATTCTTACTTATTTGTAAATATGGCCATTTTGATGCTCCATTTTACTAACTCTATTTTTTTAATTGCAGGTATATGGATAAGAAGCTCCACTGTAAGTTACAAAATAAATTATTTTATTATTTAAGAAAGACAATTAAAATTTTTATGTTGTTAATATCCCACATTACCTACAAATTTTACATATGTAGTACTATCTTTCATTTATGTTTCAGTGTAATAATGGCTTCCAGGTTGCTTTTTTTTACCACCTTACGCATTATCATTTCTACTTACGCATTATTCATTTTGATTACCACTGAAATATATAATTGCAGCTTTAAAATGTTTGTATTTCTGTTCATTTTGTTCTTTCATTTGTATTTCTGTTTCAGCACAATACATTTTTATTTTTATAGCATTTGTTTTATTCATTAATAAAAAAAATAACACTGTAAATACATGAAAAATTTTACTTTCATAGCTGTTTTTTCGAAGACACTCAAGAAAATACCTACCTTATAAAATAGACATAGTTAAATAATGGTTTTTACAACTTTACTGCAATAAAATTATCAATGATTTTAATTGGAATACACGCTGCAACAATATTCATCAGAATGCTACCATGATTACACCTGTTAAATTCAGAGCACCTTCCCTAAAATTATTCATTGGTTCTCTGCACGCTCTTCCAAAATCATGAAAGTTAAGTTTGACTAGGCTGTACTGATGAGGAGGAAGGCATGATTCACCCTAGAGCAGTGATTCTCAACCTTTTTTGGGGGTCGGCACGCTTTTAACGATTTCGAAATTAGACGACACACAATGAAAAAAATTATTTTAAATGTTGTTTACTTACCTATAATACACTGTGTTAAATAGTTTGTGATAATACTTTTGAATGTGAAATAAAATAATATGTACTACAAAAGCGCGTTTATTGAGGGATTAATTATCTCTTTAGACTAGATTTTATTAGTTAGTAGCGGTTATATTTTTTTTTGCTAGCTATTGTTAGTTTGTTTTCTACAGTTATTAACTTATTTTTTTGTTTTGCTGATTATTAATTGTAAGCTTATTTTTTTGATAGTTATCCCTTGTTAATTTGTTTTTATAACTATTAATTGCATAGTTTACTTTAATGATTAGCTATTATTTCTGTTTGAAAGTTAATATTTAACTTGTTTCATTGTTAGTTAATAATTTTAATAGTCATTAAATTTCTTACTTATTTCAAACTTTTTTTTTTTAAATTTTCAAAGACAAGACGATCGCCGACAAAGATGTTCATGCGGTAAAATCGTGTAAAATTTTTTATATGTAAATATATACTTTTCTTTAATTTAAACTTTACTTGTAACAAAAAAAAACATTATAATTTTTATTGTATCATTTCTAATATTTAACGGCACATTTTAAGAATTTGGCGGCACAGTGGTTGAGAATCACTGCCCTGGAGACTTACGTAGCTGTATGTAAATCAAGAACACTGCTGTAATAGTTTTAGTAATAAGCCCTGAAGTACAAGCAGCAGATCCATTTACCTTTCACATAATTTATATATTGCTGGTGCCTACCTACTTCAGCAAAAGTAGATTATTATATTTACATGCGTTTCAGAAGTATATGCAAATTCTTAACCATAAGATAAAGACTGCAAATCTTATTAATGCGATTTTAAAATTTAATTTCTCAATCAGTATTTATGCATTTTAAAAATTACACATCATAAAAGTTGGCATTATTAATTCATAAATAAAAAGTAAACTTGGTACCTAGCCAGCCTATTTGTAATATTTATTTTCAGTGCTCACACTGATAATATATTTTTACTATCACTATATTTTGATACAAAGTGAGACAATTCAACTATTTTTTCTAAAACAGTCATTTCTGTCAAGACATTTTCTGTGTCATTCTTGTTTTTACTTCACATTTTGTTAACTCAAACTTTGTCAAGTGAAAATATTTGTTTAGCTAAAGGTCAACTATGGTAGTGTAAAAATTCAGTTCCTATTTTGTTTTCTTGATTTATTCTGTTGAATTTAAATTCTTCTTGTGCCTTATTTATAATGTATTGTATTTTGCAGTGAAATTGAATGGTGGACGCCACATTGTAGGCGTTTTGCGAGGCTTTGATCCATTTATGAACCTTGTCCTTGATGAAGCTATAGAGCAATTGAAAGATAACAAGAGCAACAATATTGGGATGATTGTATGCCTTACTTTTAGAATATTATCATTGATTAACATTAATGTTTTGTTTTATTCTTTCATTCCTTAAAATATTTATTATTACAATTAGGGCTGGGTGATTAATTAATTTAACGCGTATATCGGCAGGCCGATGTACTGACTTTCGTATGACGTGATACTTCAGAAATCTTATTTAAGCCGTCATTATAAGCCACTGAACGAGTCTGTTGATATGACGATTTTCGTGTTCAACAAATTTGAAAGTTATGCATTGTAAGATGTATATTCTCGATTTATAAATGGGCCATTGTAATTTTTGTTCACGCATTTAAAAATCCGATATCTAGGTTCAAGCAAGTTTAAAATCAAACGTGCCAGTTGTAATATCAAACTTTTGTTTTCTTATTTTCCTAGTTTAGAGGTGCAATATATAAACTGTGCAATTCAATCAATTTTGCAGTTTGTACTTTCGAGTGTTTTAAATCCAATATCGTGGTTCATATTCACGAGATTTTAAAATCCAATGTTGCAATTCTTGTTGAATTAGTTACTATAAAAGTGTGATATTCTTCATTAGTAAAATATTTTATTATAAATGTTAGTTCAAAGAATTTGTATATTAAATGTGAAACATTTTATGGTATATAAATTGATATCTTGATATTGGATTTTTTTTATCACTCGTAATTTTCAGGGATTTTCACTTAGTGTCACAATCAAGTGTTCATGTGTTAGTATAATTTGCTTGTTATATACTAGTTAATGAATTACCTATTGAAATGCTAGGGTTAAAAATTGATTAATAGTTATTCCAATTTACTGTTTGATTTCTGATATATTACCTACTTCATACAGTTCTAATTAAAAAGTATTTACTTTCAGGTTATCAGAGGAAACAGCATTGTTTTGCTTGAAGCATTAGAAAGAATAGCTTGATATATTCTCCCTCCTTCTCATGTTGTATAAAAAGACATTCATTTTTTTCTTATATCGTCATTTCAATTTGTAAAAAAAAAAAACCTTGTGACAATAATAAATGTTTATTGCGTGACTTTTTCTAATGGTCATTTAAGTAACTCACTATAATATTTCATTTCACTTTTGTCAATTTATGTCTCAAAGTGAATTAAGCGCTTTTTCAGTTATTGTAGTAATTTTGTATTCTTATTCATGATTTTTAGGTTGTGGTTGAAGTTACTTAGCTAAATGTACTTAAGTGTAAATTTGTACTATTGACTTAAATTGTCAGTTATTTATATAATAATGCATATTTTAGCATTAGGGTGAGAAATTTATGACATAGTTTGTAGGTTAATTAGAATCATCACTTCGCAAAGCGCTTACAAGGCTCATTGCAAGAAGTCTAACAAATGAATTTACTAGGAGATGGATTATTTATTTAATCATGTCTGTGACATTTGAATCATGATTATTGATGTTTGACAAAGTGTGTGTAAGGAAATAGGTTGGAAGCATAGGTGCTAAATTGCTCAATTTCCTAATTTATGTTATGCATAGCTGCCAACTCTACTGGATTTTCCGGGAGACTACTGGATTTCGTCCGAATCTCCCGATTTCCCGGATTAATTAAAATTCTCCCGATTTTTTAACGTTTATGAAAATATCCCCATGTTTAAGGAATAATTTTTAAAAAAATCCCTATAACAGGGAAAATGAAACCAAAGTTGATCCAGTTAAACGTAACCTCGAAGCGATGACGTTTAAACGGCTCCGCCTACCTTTTTTCTGAGTGGTTGGCTTATTTTTCTCCTTTTGGGTTTGAGATTATTAGAGTAAAGTTATGTTTCGGAATCTGGCAATGCTAAGAGTTGTTTTGTTCGCGATCGCATGTGGTAAATAAGTCTACTCTTGAATTAGTCGAGGTTATTTCATTATGGATGACTCTAAGAAGAAGAAAAAATACTATCAGTCTTATAAAGAAGCATATTCCAAAGAATTTTCATTCATATTAAAGTCACGAAAAGGCGATAAACATGTCTTTTGTTCGGAATGTGCCGTTGATTTTAGCATTTCTCACTCTGGTAAGGGTGATATTAAAAACCATATTCAAAGTGTGAAGCATCAACGGAATACTTCTGCCAATGTGAAGAGCGATAAAATTAGTACTTTCTTCGAAAAATCAGATGATTTAAGAACAATACGGGCTGAATGTTTATTTACGTCCTTCTTAGTGGAGCACAATCTGCCCTTAAGCTGCGCTGATCACATTGGACCTTTGCTAAAAAAGATTTTTCCAGAAAACGACCTAGCAAACAGCTATAGATGTGGTAGAACAAAATCTTCAAATATTGTTGGAGAGTTTGCTACCCAAGTGACCGAAAAATTAAAGATAATTTTACGAAGACAGCCCTTTTCAGTTGCTACTGATGGTAGCAATGATTATGACTCAAAGCTGTATCCTGTAATTGTAACTTTTTTCAATCCAGAATCAAGATCGGTGGAAAATAATTTATTAGGCTTACCAGCTTTAAACGGTGATAGCACCGGGGTAAATATTGGGAACCTCGTTATAGATCTTTTGAAGAACCATGAGGTACCGATTACAAATTGCATATCTTTAGTGTCTGATAATGCACCTGTGATGGTGGGGAAAAAGGCGGGTGTTGTGACTGTTTTGAGAGAATTACAACCGAATTTGATTTCTGTTGGTTGTGCCTGCCATCTTCTAAATTTAGCTGCCGAAAAAGGGTCTTCAGTGTTACCGCTTAATATTGATGAACTCCTCGTTGATATTTATTTTTATTTCAAAAGAAGTTCTAAGCGGATTGAAAAATTACGGGAGTTTCAAAGATTGCATGATACAGAGGCAAAAAAATTGTTGAAGCATGTCTGCACAAGGTGGCTTTCTGTTGGGAAATGTCTTGATAGGCTTCTAATGCAGTGGAATCCCCTAGTAAGTTTTTTTAAAGATCAAATTGAGAAATCTTCTAATAATTTCAATACACTAGATGGTTACACTATTCCTAAAAAAAGAAAGGCTAGTGACATGGTGGTACCAAACAAAGAAACAAAATCGGCATCTCAATCAAAGCAAGTGGATCCGAAAATTCTTAAAAAGGAAACTAATGGGACTAAAAAAAACTACAAACAAGCTAATGAAAAAAAATCTGATCAAATAATTAAGAGAAAGGTTGATGAACCTGTGTTGAGTACTAAGAACACTGTCCTTTCAAGGGAGGAAAGATTGTTTTATATTTTAACATCTGAAACCAATAAGGCCTATTGTCTTTTCACTGCTTTTATTTGTCCACATTTTGATAAAATAAACTGTCTTTTGCAATCACAGCAGCCTTTAATTCACAAGTTGCGTTCGATTTTATTGTGTTTTTTTCAACAAACCTTGACTNAAAATGTTAATTATTGAAAAAGTCATTAGTTTGATAAAGTCAATTTTTTTATGTGGTTTTTAATTTTTAAAGCAATAATAAGGTATGTATGATTTTATTGTCACCATTCAGCTGCGGAAAATTGTTTACATAATTTTTTTATCAAATTTTTATAGTGTTAAATAATAAAGTTTTAAAGTTATTCATATAATCTTTTCAATTTAAATTAGATCTTTTTTGCCCTATTTTTTATTCCAGAAAATCCTATATTTTTTTTCTAAAAAATCCTATATTTTTTTCAAAACAATCCTATTTTTTTCTCATTGGTCACTTCTACCCCTGAGTACGTTTTGTTTTTCTTATGTGAAGGGGATTATTATCTCCTGTAAGTACAAGTTGTGCAGTAAAAATGGAATTAAAAAGCCAGATTAACAAATGTCACCTCAATCAAAGGAATAGTTTCACCACTTTTTTGAAGAGAAAGTAGTCTATGTTAAAACAGATAATTTTCTAATGTCGCCTAATAATATTTTAACTTTTATGGAAAGCTGAATCTTCTAAAATTTTGATGTAGTTTTGTCAATTGTTCTATGGTTTGTTGGTCGAGGTTATTATATAAAATATATTTTGATTTTAATAATGTTTGGTAAATATTAATTTCTTGGTGAAACTTTTCAAATAGACCTATTCTCTTGGCCCCTTAAACAGAGCATTGCATTGGGTGACATATATCCATTGATTGCATTTTATTAAGAAAACGAAAAAATGTTTTTGAGTTTCCTAAAATTATGTATTTTAGGAGTACTTTTATATTCAACTTGAAGAACCACTGAATTACTGGATATTCTGACTTTTTTTAGTTTAAGGAAACTTGTCATGGTATCACACAGTTATTGATCCCAAATATTCAAATTGGTCATTTCATTCAATATCAATAGTTGTATGCAGGGGTGCCTCCTCTCCCAATTTCTGGATACAATAAAAAAAAAAAAAACATTTATTTGAACTATTTTCTTGTTATCTGTTCTATCTACTGTTGATTTGCTGTTAGAAATATTTTGTAAATAAGTATGTTCTAAGATCAAAATACAAAACTGTTGCAGTGATATTTTTGTCTTAAAAAATTTTGTCAGTTGACTCTTATTCAAAAGGAACTGATATTAAAAAATCAATTTATATACAAGGATTAGATTGAAGTGTGCAGAAAGAAATTTTTTTAATTGTATATCTCCTAGCATATTATTATATATTACATGTCGCTGAACAATATTCTCTAAGTGTTAATGTATGTTACACATCCCTCTGAAGAAGGAAAGCCTAGACCAGGTCCAGAAGGCCCTGTCGTGTCAGTTCCCCATATATCTGCAGAAAGTCAGGATCAACCAGCAGCTGCTTGGAAATGCAAGGCAGAAAAGGTGATTAGGAACACGATTGGAAAGTCCCCATTTTGAAACCTTAAACACTTAATATGGCCATGGCCGATTGGAAAGGCTGAGGGCTGCAGTATATGAAGACTTATTAAAAATTCCAATCAAAAAATAAGAATTTGTTGCTTAAAAGCTTAGATTTTTATGAGAACTTTATTTTTCAAAGGGTTTTAAAAATTTCTTAAAACTAGTGTTTCAGTAAACAACTGGTTATGAATGTACCTCTCTTGCTTAAATTTTTAGTTAAACTCTCCACTAAAAATATTCAAAAAGTATCCCCTACCAAAAAAGATTTTGAAATCTAATCCACCACTTAAACTGAACCACTAATTGTGAATGTGTTATCTCTCTTTTGTTATTTCATATGAATGTAAAGTTGTGCATTGACATTATGTAGTAAATTTGGCTGGAAAAATATGCCCCATCAAAAAGATTATAAATCTCCCCCCCCCCAAAAAAAATAATTTAAAAATGCCTTCTTAAGTAGAATAAAGTCAGCCCAACGAATAGCTATGGTGACTGGCACCCTTGGTTGTATGTGCTAAGTGTTTTATTTAAATAATAATTCATCTATATCTTTGCATGCAGTGTAACATAACACATTGCAACTGGGGTGTGCATCCAGCGGCAGCAACCTGAACAATATTTAAATATATATATATATAGATGGATTGAGATAAAAAATCGTAAATTTGAAATTCCACATTTAAGTTTTGGCGCACCCAGTCTCAATCAATGTAGTTTGTCGATAGCCTGTTTTCGATGGTTAACGCTACGGATTTATGCATAGTTTTGAAAATCCCAATATTTTTAATACATTATTTTACGATACACGAATTTTAGTTATCACTTTTGACGCTTTTCGTGTGTGCCGATTTCATCTTAAATCCAATGACTTATCGGTGGCTATTGCTACCCATTTTTACGCAGTTTCTGAAATCCTGAATTTTTTGAATGGGACATTTAAATATACGTATTTTCGATGGGCTTTACCTGCGCAAATCTAAGTGGCTTTTTTTCGGCAGTTATTGCAACGCATTTCCACTTGGTTTTTAAAATTTCGATATTTTAAACACGATATTATAAATCGCGAGTTACGAATCGCTCATTTAGATAATTACTTTTTGACGTGGTTTACCTGTGCCGATTTTATCGCAAAACAAATTATTTTTCAAACGTTATTTTGGTAATTATTGTTATACATTTTTACAAGGTTCCCGATATTTTTTATAGGCTATTGCGACGCTTTGATTTCACATTCCGCATTTAAATTCATTATTTTTTGACGCGCTTTATTTATGCCAATTTCATCAGAAATGTAAAGGTTTTTTAATAGTTTTTTTCGTTAGTTATTACTAGACAGCGGATTATATGCACTAAAAACTTGAATAAATGCTCTTAAAACTAGAAATATGCATTTAAAATAGAAATTAAAAGTTCAACTTATTTAAATACTACTACTTACTTTTTCCAACAAACACAGCTAAAACATTTTTTTGTTAAAAGGAAGAAAATCAAAATATTTCTTACTTGAATCTATACATTTCTGAAGAAAAAGCCTAAAACTGAAGTATGATAAATGAGAGAAGAAAAATTATCGCATTTTCCGGAAAGATTTTATTAAACTGAATAATTTTTGTTGCAATACACAACTAAGTGTTTTTCCAAATTTTCAAGGGTGAATTGATGTCGTCGGTCATCAAAGATCATTTTGAAAGCAGAAAATGACCTCTCCACGTCAACCGATGTTATTGGACAAAACTTGTACAATTTCGTACTCATTGGTTTTACTTTCTCTGGAATTTCAGTTCCGTTTCCCTTAAGAAAATCATTTATCTTCTTCACTGCTGCAAAACCCGAATTTTTGTTTTGAACGAAACACCATTTTTCTTTTACTTTCTTCCCAACTGAGTCTGGAAGAGCATTGATGCACTGTTGAATTTTTTCAATTTCGGATATGGCCTCAGCCAGGGGAAGACCTCGTGTTTGGAGCCTTGTTATTGCTCCACTTAAGAAAGAAAAGTGAGTGTCAATTATGGCCAAATCCTTCTGCAAAGAGATATCCTGTAGTAATTCTTTTGTGACATAAACTGAAGAAGCACAGGAACTGTCAATTGCATCTACAACTGACTTTATTGCATCAAAATTATTAGCGTAAAAACGTGCAGCTTCAATCCATGTACCCCACCTAGTTATCACAGGCTGTGGGGGTAAGGACAAATCAGGATACATTTCTTTATACAATTTTATGCGCACAGGTGCCTTGAGAAAAACTTTCTTGATACTAGAAATTAAATCATTCACAGAGAATACTTCTCGAACAGTCTCAGCCAGTCTGTGAACAGCATGAGCCAAACATGTAATATGAAGCATTCTGGGATAAAAAAAATTTCCAGTGCTGCTGCAGATTTGACCATATACGGAGCGACATCACTGACAAAAATCAAAACATTTTCAGAACCATCTCTATCAGGCCATAATAATCTGATAGAATCATTGACAAACCTTGCTATTGTATAATGATTGACTTTTTCAAGGGCTTTGCTTGCTAGAAGATGTGATCGAGTAGGAATATTATCCATTTTTCCACAAATAAAATGAGCAATATAGCGACCGCACTTATCTGTCGTCTCATCGACTTCAATCCATATAGGGCCATCTCCAATATCTCGTCGAATACTATCCAGTACTTCGTTATATATCGGTTGAAGGTAGTTCTTTCTTAAAGTCGATTCATCGGGAATGATCTGATTGGTACAATATTTTTTTAAAAACTGTCTTAAGTTTGGATTATTTAACTTTTTTAAAGGAATATTGCTGCTTACTAAGGCTTTGCATAAATCACTAGAAAAATCACTTTCCTTTTTAGCTGCTTGAACAGGAATAGTTAATAAACTTTGAACAAATCCTTTTGTATTCTGCTTTTTCTTCGCGGAGTGAGCATTAGTCTTTATATGTTGATCGATTTGGTACTTTTTTTCACAGGAAATGTGTTTTTGACAAATCACACAAAATACTATTTCCCCATCGGTCGTAAAGTCCTTCCCATAGTCCGAAATCCATGTCTTCATTAAATTTGATTTATTGAACTTAATTTTTGGCATATTATAAAATTCAGCAGTCTAAAATCACGTTCGAAGCTTCTCTAACTACGTATTCAACTGATGGATGTCGAAACTATCTATCTATCGAAATATGTTAGAATAGCAGCTCTCTCCGAAAATGTATTCACTCCACCTTTTAACTAATCAATCACAGGAAAGGGAGGTCATTTTCTACCAACCACAGAAGCCTTATTTTTCCCACACAGATTGACAATTATTTATTCCAGGAAAAGACATCCCTTCATAGAATATCTGACCACCCCTTTCTGAGGTTTCTGTGACGAATGTCTGTTTGGGTGGACCCTTTGTACCCCCCTTTCTGACACACACCTCATTTCTACATCTTTTTCGCGTGATTGCAATCACCCCCAGCAACATCAATCCAGCTGACCCTTTCAGGTGATAAAGAACGACAAAACAAAATTTAAAGCGGTTCTTATGCTAACAAAAAAAGAATAGTGACATGGTTTTAGGAGGGAAAAGCCATAAAATGCTGAAAATATGCATTCATAAGAGCAAGTATACCTTTTTATGCACAAATGACAAAAAGTGCTAAAATATGCAATTGCATATGCACGTATGCAATTGCATATTATCCGCTGTCTAGTTATTACTATACTTTTCCCCGTTATTTAAAAAATCCCGATATTTTTAATACAATGTTTCACGGTACGTGAGTTTTAAATCGCGCTTTAAAAAAATTACCTTTTACGTGCTTTATTTGTGCCAATTTTAGCATAAATATACGAGTTTTATTTTTTTTTGCAGTTATTGCTGTATTTTTACATGTAATTTTGAATATCCTGATACTTCAACACAATATTAAAACTCATGAAATTCGATTCTATTTTAAATTTTTATGTATTAATTTTCTTTTATTTATTGATTTTTTTTAAACTTAAAAAGTAATTACGTATCTTAGCTAAATCGACGCCTTCCCAGAAAGAATAGAAAAACGCAATTTGTACATTTATATTAAATGCGGGTCCTTTTCGCAGAAAAATAATTCAATACACATGCATATTTCTTTAATCCCATGTACACGTGCAAGTTTAACAACACGTGCCCAACATATTATTTTTCGTAGTCACATGATTTAAAAACCACATCGCATTTCGTATTTACGCGTATTAAAAATCGTACTTTTTTATTCTCTTCGCAACCTAAGATAAGAGTCACATTTCGTACTGACATTAACGAGATTTAAAAATCTTAAACCACGATTCGTATTCACGCGATTTAAAAACCACATACCGCTATTCATATTCACGCATTTTAAAAATCATACATAGTGAAGTTTTCCCGCAATTTTACGTCACACATCTCGATTCACATTCACGCCATTTAAAAACCACACATCGCTTTTTTTATTCACTCAATTTAAAAATCACTAATAACAATTTGCATTAGAGCGGTTTAAAACTCACACATTGCTATTCGTATTTACGCGATTTTAGGTTATTTGCCCTGAATTTAATACTGCCTAAAAATAATAGCTTCTGTAGAAAGACTTTTCCAGAATGAATTGAGCATGGTTCAAAATTGTGGAGCAGTCCTCATGAAAATCATGAGCAAAATCATGAAATTTTCATTTCATGACCTGAAAAAGCTATCAGATGATCAAGTAGATAAAATTATCACAATATTTGAAAATTTTGCAAATTGCAGGATGACCATTAAGAAATTTTTTAAACCATTTTCTACCTACATGGACCATTTTATATCATTTATGATTATATGCTGGAATTGATTTGTATATTATTAAATTTTAACTATAAAAAAGCGTAATCAAGGTAAGTATCGTAATGTGAATTTTAATTAATTGTTAATATATATGTGTGTATTAACTGTTAGTAGCGTCATGTTAAAAAAGTATTGGTCATAAAGAGTTGTTGACAAGTATCTTAATAGTTCTTTAGTTCCTTCGAAATTAATGTTTTCTTTCTTTTTATTTTCTCTCTCAGCCCCTGACTCTTATAATTTATTTAAAATAAATGTTTTAAGGTTGGAGTATATTCCTTACTAAATGTTGAATATTATTTTTCGCTAAAAGGGTTTTAATTTTAATCATTTTTAACCCAACGAACTTTCTATAAACTAAAGAATTTAACTTTCATTTATTTATTATTTTTAAATTTCATTCTATGAACATTAAAATGTTTGAATGATAAAATTGATGTTTTAATGCACTTTTACATTATATAATGTGATAAAAAAAAACATTAATTTTTCCATTGTTTTTATTTACTTCAACTTATCTGAATATTTTTCCGATAAATTGATTCTGATTTTCTAATTCTTCTTTTCGACTCTAAGTAATCAGTTTCGCAGTTTTTAATTTTAAACATTTAAAAGTAGTATTTAATTATATGCTAGCATATGACAAGGTTAACTGATAAAAAGTATTTATTGACCACAACAAAAATTGTTTTCATAACAAATGCTACCAATAATTGCTGTCAATATGTTTTTCTAAATACTTTGGCATACGGCCCTTCATATATCAATCTGTTGTGCATATGGCCCTTCCCTCAAAAAGGTTGTGCATTCCTAATATAGTTAGTAAAATGCAATTCTTACAGATATTAAGAAATAAATTCCTTTTTTAAAAAATCTTTTCTTTTTTCTTGATAAAATTACGCAGCTGTCTTCCATTAAAACAGAAACTGTTTACCCTGAATTGATTTTTAAAGCTATAAAAAGCTTTCTGCCTCTAAAACAACTCTGTTTTATAAGAGAACCAAGTGGGCTCTACTGGGAAATTACAATTTGAACTAAATTTGTAATTTCCCAGAATATTACAATAGTCCGAGAGGCAGCCATACAAATGATAAATAATTTTAATATATTCTGTATAATTTACCTCTCTAAATTAAAAAGAAAAATGTAAAAGCCACTACTACTGCTGTTTTAGGGACTTTTCATTGAGTATGCTTTTCACTATACTTAATTTAAGAAAAAAAAAAAACTATTATACATAAAATAGCAGAAATTTTGCGCATTTCCAGAGAAATGTTTAAAGAACATTTGAATATCAAAATATTATTTTTGTGACCATCAGTTAATATTATTTTCTGTCCATTCTGAATTATAGATTGCCTTTCATTTAATTTTTTGCGCAGCGTAATCTAGTTTAACGAAAACTATTAGAAAGAGGATAATGAATTTTTTTTCCCGCATACTTATATGTTTGACAATGAGTAACGTGTCTCACTTTATTTTAGTTTTGGAGTAAATAAATAGTTTATAGTGAAGGTTTTCGAAGTAAAAAAAAAACTATTAGAATTAATGACTTTTAAAATTTCATATATCTTCTTTTTTTTTAAACTTTTCTTTGGGTAAAAACTTAGCCCGAGATTTATATCGTTTTATGAAGTTAGGTAGGGACTTTATGTCGCGCTAGAGCTGACAATGGGTAATTAGTGACGGTGTGTGAAACATTCCTGAGAACCAACCGAAAACATGCCATCATAATTATTGATCCTCTGCAGAGGGGATCTTGCTTGTGAGGCGACTTCCTTAATTTAGAAATAGACCTAAAGAAGAAGGGATTTTATATTGCTGCTGACATGATTCCGTATTTTTTTCATTCGTGCACGTCTCGTGAATATATTCGCGAACGTCTTTGGGGGGGGGGGCAGCTGGTACCCTGTGGGTGAGAGGGGTTTCCCTCAATAATTAGGAACCTCTTAGATTCCTCAATATTTCAGATAAATAAAAAAAAGTTTATGAATCATTGATTTAAATTCGTAAAAGTTAGAAACGGGAAAGAAATAAAAATATTTAATCTTCTTGCAGACATAAGAATGTTTTTTCTTATGTGTGAAAGTTAGAGCTATTGTGGTTGTATATTTTAATTCAGCTCCCTCAAATATTCGAGCCTTCCGACTCTCATGATACTTTGATATTGATAGCTCCCAGAGCGAATTATTAGAAGCCAAATAAGGTCGGAATAAAATAATATTGCGGATCGGCAGTACTGTGCATCCCTTCAGTTACGTAACCGACGTTGAGCAGTTGACCCAATTTTGGGTTTACGACTACCAATGTTCAACTCCGTATCCTTGTAATTTTGATACCAATCCAGAAGAAAAGGAAACTCCTGGATCAGTACCCCCAGAGGCAGGCCCGGACTGGGATCTAAAATCGGCCCGGGCATTTTGGAGACATCGGCCCTNGACAAGGAAACTCCTGGATCAGTACCCCCAGAGGTATTATTTGCTATGGGAACATGGAGAACTTTCTGACTCAACAGATTTCACGTGTATCAGTCACCATTTACTACACGGGGAGTCATCGGCTTGCGGGGATCAAACCCATGGCCTCTTTGACATGGGTCCAGTGCCCTACCAAACAGTCTATCATCCCTTCAGTTAGTACTATAAACTCAATAGTACCAGTCTCGAATCGAATATGCGCAATGGCTATTGGCCACGGTCTGAGAAACATCTCTGAGGATGACCCGAAGATATGCCATCCCAATTTTGATCCCCTGCAGAGGGGATGGCAACCCCGATACGGTAGCCCAACGACCTGCACGCGAAGTCGAGCACTTTGCGGTAGAACAGTCTAACGAGAGCCAATACCGCACACCCTCGGTCCCTACTCAGACTGATTCAAGTGGTCACCCACCTGCTCACTGACCGCAGTCAGTGATGCTTGACTTCGGTGAGATGGTTGACTGTATGTAAACAACAACAAACTTCCTTAAACCGGAAGAAATTTAGAGAACTTCCAGTGTATCCCTCCGCTCATGTTATGCTTATGATGCGTTGTGTGAGCACGTTAATTATTCTAGGAAGTTCTATGATTGTGATTTATACGTAAATTTACCATTCATAAGAGTTTTCTGTAATTTATAAATTCTAACTGGTCGTGAGCCTAATAGAAATTCTAGAAAATTAATATCACAGCATAAATAAAGTGTAAGGTGTGCCAGGTTTTGAGTGTTATCCCTTATTTGGCTATATTTGTGTAATGTAGTCTTGCTTTTTTTTTTAAGTAGCATCATAGCAAGCTTGTTAAATCTTTCGAATTCTGCGCGTTTTCAAACTCGGAAAAATCAGTCCGCCAGCGTCAGTAAATTTAGTGATTATTCTACCATTCCCACTGTATGCGATTCACGCACCTCCGGTCCCAGCTGAGAATATATTTTACCAATCTGAGTGCTCACTCTTCCTCAACAGTGCTCTCGAAGGTGCGTAAATTGCATCAATGAGAATGTCTTTCATACAAATATTACTCATCTTCAGAAAATAGTAATAATTTCTGTAGATTCATTAATATTTACGACTCTTAACAGAGATTTCATGAAAAATTTGTATATTTCTAAACATTAAATTTAAATTTTTGAAGTGGAAAAAATATCAATATTAGTGCTATAAGTAAGCCCAACAGCATAAATAAATCAATATTTACACTCTTTGAAGAAGAGGAAGTTCTTCGAGATTGAAGTCTGATTAGTGACGGATACATTTTTTTTAACTGCTTAAAATTGATTCACAGTTTATTAAGTCTTGTTGGTGAATCTTATAAATTTTATTGTTTGCGAAATGAAGTTTAAAGGTCTGTGTGTGTTTTACTTTCATTAGTTTGTGAATGTGTGAAACCAACGACGTTTTTGTAACTGCGCCCAAAACATTATTGCCGGTGTTGTGCTACACAAAATGAGAGAAAATACCATGGCTTTAGCATGGCAACCACAAGAAGAAGGCTTAAGAGAAATATTAAAACTTTTAAAAGAATCACAATCTCCTGATACTGCTACCCAACGAGCTGTTCAAGAAGTATCCTTATTATTTTACTTTAAGCGTTTTCTTTTCGATTCTGTGGATAACAAAGTAGCAATTGTTAAGCCTATTTTTGTGTATTACTAAAACATTTATTGTTTTCCCAGTTTTTTTAGTTTTCAATGTAACTCAGATTGTTTCGTACTACATTATAAGTTTTAAAATAAATTAATTGTTGACTTTAAAACTTTTTTACTGTAGTATTAACTTAAGATGTCAATATGTTATGTTACACTTTGAATATCTCTTAACGTTTTTCATCATCAATAAATTTTGTGGGTGCTTTAAATTTAAAATGGCTGTATTAATGTTATTGAATAAATATTTTTATTTGAGCAATTTTATGTAAAGTATGTCAATGCATTTTAAGTTTATAAAAGTTATTACAAATATTAGAAAGATCATATTTTTCAGTCTTAATTGTAGTTTCATAGCTTTATTTTGGAGTTTGATTTATTGATTCTAAGTGCTTCTTAAAGGTAGTGGAGTCCTAAATTGGTTCACATTAGTGTTGTAGGATTACAATAGTTTTGTAGGAATTACTACAAGTGTCATAACTGATGGTTTTTTTTTTTAAAGCTTATATGCCAAGCTAGTAAAAAATGAAATGTAATATTTAGATGCTTAGCGCGTAATCTAAATATGTTTGCTATAAAGAATTTATATCCTATATTTAAGGGAATAATTTATAGTCGGAGAGTTCTTTTGTATGAAGTGGAACTAGCTTGACTGATTCAGATCAACCATTTTAACTAACATGAAATCCTTTTTTTTTTTCGTGAAAAGAGAGAAGGGGAATATTTCAAATTAGAGCTTAAGAACCATTTAAAAACTTCAAATGCTTGACATATGAAGCCGCTCAACTGGCTCCATTTTTATAAATCTCACCCAATGTGAAGTGTTTTGTTAATAATTTTGCACATTTGCAGCAGAGCTTTAATTAATCATGTATTGACTAGATAAAATATAATGAATGCCACATCTGTATTAATCTCTTCTGTTCTGGTTGAAACCAAAACTTTCTCATTTGGGAATTAAGATTGGAATGTCATTGTCCCCATGTAAAAAATTTGCATTTATTAGCTGTTGAGCTAGCTGGTTTAAGTTTTGTTTTTCCTTTCTAATTGCAAGTGTGACTGATAGTAAATGTTAAGGCAATCTTATTTTTGTGTTTATTGATCATGGTCAAAACTAAAATTTAAGAAAGAGCTACTGGTTTAAAAAGAGTATTGGATATTTTTCTGAAAGGATTGCCTTTTATGTAATATCTATATCATGGAAATTAAATAAAATTAAATCAATTTAGTGACATTGAGAAACATTTTTTTATTAGTTCTTATGTAATAAAAAGTATATGAAGCTGTATTATGATTTTATTTGTTAACTTTTAAAATAAATTTTATGTTTAATATATCTTCTAATATTAACACTACGTTCTTATAGATTTAAAAATTAAATTATTTCATCTTTAAGAAATACTATGTATTTGTTCCTTATATCCTCCCTTGTAAAAATAGTATCCCCCTCTCAAAAAAAAAAAAAAATCTAGTTGAACCCAAAAAACTCAATTGAGGTTTGCTCTTTAAAAAAAAACCGGAGTTTTTTTCAGCCTTGATTCGAAGTTAATAGAAAAAACTGTAGTGGAAGTTCTTTAACTGTGTCAATAGCTCTTGTTTGAGATTGTTGATAACAAAATATAGGCAGTAGTTAATGCCTAGACAAGTAAAATAATTTTATTCAATGTGTGTTCTCAGCTTATTAAAAAATTAATTCAATGCAATCAGATCAAGGAAACTGATGTCAGTTTTCAAAAGTTTGAATGTTATCATAACACTTAACATAACACTTAACATCTTCTGATATTTAAATTTTTACCACTTTAAAAAAAAATGAGAGTATTTTCCTTAAACCATAGTAATTTATTTGTCATAAAGTAAATAAATTTTAAAATAAAACTTTTAGTTTTAGAGTCTTAAGTTGAATGATTAGTTAAGATGTGACACTAATAGTTATAAGTTTAGTTAAGTTATCATAAAACTTAGGTGTTTGATTAAGGATCATAATTCAAAATGTTATCAATTCATGTGTAAATGCTTGAAAGACTATTATATACAAGATGATAGTTAAATGTTTTATCACTGCTATACCATGATATTTTATGCTAACATTGTTTATTCTGTTTTTAATGTATTCACAAATTTTTTCAAAATTTTCTTAACATTTTGTAGAAACTTGAAGAGTTAAATAAATTTCCAGATTTCAACAACTACCTTATTTTTGTACTTACAAAGCTAACTTCAGAAGGTATATATATATTTTTTTATTTTAAAATTAATATGAAGATGACTGGTTACTTTTTTTGAGAAAATTTTCCCCTTTGATAATGGCTATTAAAAGCATATTATGTAATGACTGGTATTTTTTTAAAAATATATCTTGAATATGATTAAATTTTGTTTGTAACAAGTAATTAATTTTTGATGAGCGACAAATTAGTAGTAGCACATAGATTGTACCTATTTACTTAATTGAAATAAATTGTTGGTGACTTTCAGGTAATATAATTGTGAAAAAGATTTTTTTCCTTATTGTTTTTACTTGTGATTTTTATAATAAATTTAATTGTAATAATATACTGAGTTATTCATAAGTTTCCAGGTATCCCTTTTTTCCTACATAGTGCTTTTGTATGCATTGTAATATGTATAGGTTTCAATTTATTACATTTTTAAATATTGACTAGGTTGTAAAATAACAAATCCATCTTAAGTTTTTATTGACAAAAATGGAATATTTCTTACAGTGCAGCCCAGATTTTTCATATAATTCGGAACAAGTAAAGAAATTTTTTTTTTTGATTTTCGTATAAATTAAGATTATGAAAATGTTAAAAAATAGATATTCTCGTAAATTATAAGCAACTAGTACTTAAAATGGCATGACATTCTTGAAAATTAATTTGTTGTAAATTAATACATAAAAACTGAAATTTTACTATCTGTAGCTCTTCCATAAAGATAACACACACCTTTGTATTGAATTTGAGATTAAAAATTATAACACAAATGTTAGCTGATAAATGGTATTAAATTTTGTTTTCTAAAACGTCTGAATGTCTGTCAAGGGCCGTTCAAATATTACTTAAGTGCCTAATGGGGGAAGGTAAATGATTTGCTTATTTCTGTTGACAAGGGAAAAGAAAGGACACGAGCAGTGCCTACAGACAACATTAAAATCTTTAAAAAAAAAAAAAATTCTGATAAAGCAAAATAAATAATTAAAAAATTCAAAGAAAAAAATTGCTCATGGAAAAATTTTAAATATAGAATGAAAGTTGAATTTTGATTTGCCAGGCTGCTGATATGAGGGTGCCATGCTCTCAGCAGAGGATAAAAATTGTGAAGGCATATCTCCAAATTATCCTCAGTGATGTTTCTCAGACCGTTGCTAATAGCCCATTGTGCAGCTCTGGTGCAACGCAAATAAAGTACTACTGCTACTTTTGTTTGAAACTTTTTAAAATGCTTGGAATTAATTTAACTTGTTTGATGTTTGTGGATTCATTTCATATTTTCTTTGAACATTTGTTCATATCATTTAATAGCAGGGTTGGCAGGTTTTTGACATGTGACAGTTTTTGACAGTTTAAACCATAGTTTAAACCGTCNAAACCATGGTTTAAACCGTCACGTCAAANTTTTTGACATTTTTGACGGTTTAAACCAGTATTAAACCCTTGTCATGTCAAAAACCACTTTTTGACGTCAAAAATCCAACCCTGTTTAATAGTCATTGCCAACTATTAAAATTTAATTGGTAACTAGGTTATTAAATACAATATGAAAGTTTAATCATAATATTGTAAAACTTAAGCATGTAGAGTGTGATGTGTTGCTCTAAATGTATTAGTTTTTAGAATTTTTATTCTGAATAATTGGGGAAAATTGGGAATTTTTTTTCGGAAAAATAGAATGTACACTGATCTTGTATCGATGTTCTAAAATCAATGGTCTAGATTTTAGAACATAAATTTTCAGTTTGGTATGGCATCAGATCAGAATAGCAGTACATTGCAAAAGTTTAAATTTTATTTGTGTGAAATTTTTTTCTTTTCACATCTTCTCTAAGTGGAATGCAATATTTTCAGCATGTTTTCTATATTTTTGTAATAATAAATAAATGTACTAATCTACCTAATAAATCTACTTTAAAAATTCACTTATGTCTTCTTTTTTTATAGATGAGCCAACTAGATCACTGAGTGGGTTAATATTGAAAAATAATGTAAAAGCTCATTTTCATCAGTTTCCACCTGAAGTTACAGAATTCATCAAGTCAGAATGTTTGAACAGTGTTGGAGATCCGTCACCTTTAATCCGAGCTACTATAGGCATTTTAATTACCACTATTGCTTCAAAAGGCGAGCTTACAAATTGGGTTGATTTACTACCGCGCTTGTGCCACTTGTTAGACTCTGAAGACTATAATGTTTGTGAAGTATGTGTTGAGTTATATTTTCTTATTACTTTTGATTTTATATTGTGCACACTTGATTAACTGATGCCAACCAATAACAATTAGTTGATTTTTGTAATTAAGTTTAGTTTGTAAAAATTCTCTGAAATCTCAGTTTTGCGTGAAGCAAAGGGCAGAAGTATTTTTGGTTATATATAAATTTCTGCTGTCAGGGGACTGTTTATGAGAAATTTGCGGACTCTTCACAAAATAATTTAACTTAAAAATGGATCCTTCACAAAATAATTTATCTTTTAATTGGACCCTTCCCAGGAAGGGAGGGATGTAAACGAACTAAGTTTTGTCCTCAGCAGACGCTTCTTCCTTTATTCGTCCGATATTAATATTCTGCTGCAGCAGTATATGCTAAATACTAAATTTTTGTGTGTTGCATCTTTAATTTAGTAGCAGCAATTGCTGTTTATTTTTAAAAATTTTCTTTTTTAATTATAATTTTCCAGTTTTGAGCATAATTTTGTATGTCTTCACAATTTAAAAACTCCCTGAAAAAGTTTTTTGCAATAACAGGACCCTTATTTGCACAAATTCACAAAAGCCGGACCCTGGTTGAAAGAATGTGACTTAACATTTATTTTATATTCACAAATTATGAGTAATTTTTTCACAATTTTACAAAACCGGACCTTTCACAAAATGTCCAAACAGACCCCTGGCTGTATATCGTTTAGTAGTTTTGTATTTTCCCAAAATTATTAAGAAATTACTAAAACTCCCTGTGGCAGAATCGTGTCGACATTGTCACAGAACTTTACAAAGTACTTGCAGAAAGATTTTTCTTTTCGATAGTAAAAAATTTTGGCAGCTCAACTTTCAGACATTTTAAACAAACGCCCATTTGTTTGACAGAGCATAAAACTTGATTTATTGGAAAGAGCCACTTAGTGGAAGTACAGTTTCAGTATTGGCATAGAAGTTTGTCTTCATTGCTGATGAATGGCAGTTGGCATAGGTACATTAACTAGGCAAATGTTGTAGAGATCCATACACAGCATCATTTGTTGAACCGTCATTGAGGTGACATTGTTGGTAGCCCTTTGGTTCAACTGTGTGGTTGGTTGCTCAACAGTTGCACATCTATTTGACCGAGCGCGTCTTTGCAGTTATCATTCACTTATGTCCATGGGTGCCACTCTTCAGTCTTGAGAAAAATCAGTGGCATAGAAATGTTTTTACACAATTTTAAGGGAAATTAATGATTTTCTTTTATTTCACTGAAGATGTTTGTAATGACGAACATATTAATGAAAAATACCATTTTCTAGTCTCTTTCCAATTTGGTTTTGTGATTTGCTAAAAAAAATTAACGATTATTTTTGGTTTACAATAGTTTAACAAAATTATTGTTAAAGAAAATTTTTTTTCTTTGTTATTGCAAGATAATGATGAAGCAATTGAACCTAATAAAAATCTTTTGGGATGATAAAGCTCTTCTCATGTTTGATCTGAATCTGCTTGAGTTTTTTCCCCTGATATTTAGAAATGCTTGGAAAATCAAAATAACATGCTCAAATTGAGATTTTAAAAAAAAGAAAAAAATTAATGAGCTAATGAAAAATTGATGACAGGGTTCCCACGGGTCAGGGAGACAGGGAAAACCTGGAATTGTCAGAGATTTTTTTTTCAATTCCAAAAATCAGGGAATGGTCAGGTAAAGTTGCAATTTTTTTACAAAAACTTGAAAAATTCCTTCATTATACCTGGAAAAAAAACCAGTCTTAAAATTGTCAGTAACAGAAAATTGTCAGTAACAGTACTCAGTTGTTGAGATTCAAGTTAAATGATTCTAGCATCTATTATAATTAGTTATTGTAAAAATTTCTCATTTTAGACAAACTGAAATGTTTCTTTCCTCATATAATATTTATTTTACATAGAAAATCTAATACGAATTACAACATTACAAATAAACATTACAAATAAAAGAATGAAACGTTACGACGTTACAACGTTACGACATTACAAATAAAATAATGAAAATTTTCTGATGAAACATTTCGTAGCGTAGTTAAAATATGGTATTGATTTTCATTGAAATTTACCTGATATACCTGGAAGAGTCAGAGAATTTTTTTTCTGAAATTGAGTGGGAACCCTGTGATGATAAAGTGAAAAATAAGTAGAGATATGAATGGTTTCAAGGAAAAATGGTGGTTTATCGTTCAGTAAATGGTGTAAAAAAGATACGGTGCAGCTTTTATTTTTGTTTTATTTGCTGTTGGCAATAAACTGAAAAACAAAGAAAAAAATATTTTTAGAAAAAACAATCATAACATTGAGCCATTCTCATGGAAACATATGGGCCATTCTCATGGAAAGATGTTTTTTGCAGTCATTGAGGAATGAATTTTTGTTAATTCAAATTCTGTTAACCAATGCAATGGCACGGAATGTTGATGACCTCGTTCGACAATTGGATTGAATTGTTAATTAGTCAAAGAGTAAATTCAGTCTTGAAAGTTTTTAGATTAGCACCCATGCTTATGTCATTTATAAACCGTATTGCACCTCATTTGTTACATCACTGATACATCTTAGGATAGTGTTATTCTGTTATACACTGCATGCTTTGAAAGTCATGAATAGGAATCTTTGTTTTTAGTTTGAATGGTATGTCTTAAACAAAATTAAATTATTGCTTGAGTAATTCAGAACATTTTTTCTCCTGCTAGTTAATTACTATTTTATTCGATTTTACTGAAAAATAAAAATAATTTTTCTGATTTAAAACAGTGTAATTAGTTATATTTAATTTGTTTTAATAGGTCATTGTTTTAGTTTTTTGGAAAATATTTGTATTTATATATGTCTTAATTTATTTTTAGGGTTCTTTTGGTGCTCTGCAAAAAATTTGTGAAGATTCTGCAGAATACTTGGATTCAGATGCTTTAAATAGACCATTAAATATATTAATCCCCAAATTTTTACAGTTCTTCAGACATTCTAGTCCCAAAATCCGTTCCCATGCTATTGCTTGTGTCAATCAATTTATCATCAACCGAACTCAAGTTTTAATGCTACATATTGATTCATTTTTAGAGGTATTTCAATTTTCTTTTTCAAACATATTTAGATTTAAGGTTTACTTGGCATGTTGGAATAACAAAGCTAATAATTTTTTTTAGAATTTATTTCATTTGGCATCAGATGAAGATCCAGAAGTCCGTAAAAATGTTTGTAGAGCACTTGTTATGTTGTTGGAAGTACGGATGGATAGACTCATTCCTCACATGCATCACATCATTGAAGTAAGTGTTGACCACAAAATAGGGGGTACATGAGTGACCACAAAATAGGGGGTACTGGGAGAAGTCAAGCAATTTTAAATATATCTGGAAAAATCAAGACAAAGTCAGTCAGGGAATAATTTAAAGTGATGGAAAATTAATTTGAGTTTGAGGCATCTATTAGTCCAATATTTTTTGTAAAACGGGGTGATTTGCTCCGGATTTTTCGCTAACCGCTNTTGTAGAGCACTTGTTATGTTGTTGGAAGTACGGATGGATAGACTCATTCCTCACATGCATCACATCATTGAAGTAAGTGTTGACCACAAAATAGGGGGTACTGGGAGAAGTCAAGCAATTTTAAATATATCTGGAAAAATCAAGACAAAGTCAGTCAGGGAATAATTTAATTAAAGTGATGGAAAATTAATTTGAGTTAGAGGCATCTATTAGTCCAATATTTTTTGTAAAACGGGGTGATGTGCTCGCGATTTTCGCTAACCGCGATCCGAAAGTTTCCGGAAATCCAAAGTCCAGAAGTTTCAAGAAATCATCGATTACAAATATGTATAAAAATTCTTGCATATTTTATTTAAAAATATTAGAACTAGACTTTATACTTGGCATCTCTTTCATTTATGAATATTTTTTCTGGTAGAATAATAAATGTGATTAGAGATAAAAGTAAACTTGCACATAATTATTCATTTAAATTATTCTTGCACATAATTATTCATTTAAATCATGTTTTGAAAATTTCAATGATTTAAATTTATAAAGATATAAATTTTTTGAAGGGTTTTATTCGAGAAATTTTCAGGATTTTTGAGTTGGACTTACAATCACCCCTGGTAAAAAGAAATTGGTCTTGAGATACTTTTTAAAAGATTTAATTTTCTAATTTTATTACAAGTACCATAATTTTTTATATATATCCACAGATTGTTAAAATCAACTACCGGTATTATCTGTAGACGAATGTACGTAATGCTCCAGACTTTTTCCCTGTACCAGAACTTATAATGCCTATTTTTTTACCCGACAGATGGTGTCAATCGTATTTGTGTATATCTTTTTACTTCAACATAACTTTGGAAGATTTGATTACTGAGTGTCAAACATGGCATGATTCAAATTTCTTTTTCATTTTTCTGCAAAATAAAACTATCTTTCTTTTTGCAGAGTTTATGTTTGATAGTAGCTAGTTGAAAAAAACATTGTCTCTGCATGTGATTCATGCAGATCCAATTGCGGTCTTAGGGAAAGTGAGAACCTGGTTGGTGAAATTTATTTCTTGCGAAAAACTCTCCAAACAGATTCTCCTTTTCTCGCGACCGCAATTGGTGTGTTACATTGAAAATGACCTTTTTTATGATCCTCATTAAGGAAGCTTAAAATCTTAATAGTTAATATGTTATTGTTTGGCAATAAATTTCTTTAACAAACGAGAGTAGAGTGCAAAAAAAAAGAAAACTAAAGCTGTTAAAAGAAAAACTGATTTTTGAAAAAATAATTTTTTTTTATCTCAGTAGAATAAGAGTGAATAAGAATTGTATTTTATTATCTTTTAATTCAGTCTATTTAAGAATTGTAATAGAAATCTATCAAAAATTCGTTGCCGTGCCCAACGAAAATGAAAAAATTTATTGCATTTTATTTTTGTTATTTACCAATTTTGTACTTGCTGTCCACTATGCCTGAGAAGTTAACTTTCTATTTTAGTATATGCTGATGAGAACTCAAGATTTAGATGAAGGAGTTGCATTAGAAGCTTGTGAATTTTGGCTGTCTCTTGCTGATGAACCTATTTGTAAAGAAGCTTTGACACCTCATTTACAGACATTAATTCCAACTTTAGTTAGAGGAATGAAATATTCTGAACTTGATATTATTCTATTAAAAGTAAGTTTTTTAAAAATGTAATTATTGTTTTGCATTATTTCTAAAAATGGGATTGTTGATAATTTACGAGGATGTATGTCTAGGAAATAACTTCATTATGATCAATGTAATTATCATGTAGTATAAAACTGTAGATTTCATTTGATTTTAGCTGTAGATTTTAACTTTTATTTATACTTCTATGGTTTGAGAGATCTACATTTAGCATAGTTGCAACTTTTCAGCCCTAGGGACTGAAATCAGTCTTTAGAAAAATCAGTGGACTAATAAATTCTATCAGTTAAATAAAATTTCATTAGAAATTTGAATTGTTTTTTGTTTAAAAAAGTATTACATTTTGATGAAACTTTGTTTTTTTTTTTACTATTATTGCAAAATGAACTAGTAATGGTGCCACACTGACATAAAAGAATAGTGTCAGGACTTCAGCCTCACTAAACCTTGACAAATGATTGAACTTCAACATCTGTATGTATAAAACAAAATTTGTTTCGATGCTGAAACTAAATCTGTTCCAGTTTGTTTTTCTCCCCCTTTCCCTAAACCTACTGACATGCTGCCCCTAAACATATTGGCAAATAAAATCAAGATTATTAAAAATAAAAATATTGCTAGAACAAAAAATAATTAAGTGAAAAATATAGATATAAATGGTTTCAGGCAAAAGTTAGTTGGTCAGTAATAGGTGTAAAAATATATACAAGGTTAGTTTTGTTCTCTAAAAAACCCCCTCATAAAATAAAATAAACAAAATCTTTATTTAGAAAAAATAACCAAATGATTGATTTAATATGTAGGCTATTATCAAGGAAAGGTAAATTTTGTTGTCAGTGAGCTTTTAATTTTTAAAAGTTTGTTAAACAATGCTAGACAGTATTATTTGATCAAAAAATAAGTTCAGTCTTAAAACTTTTTAGCGTGGCACCCATGAATTTAGACATTTGTGCCAAGTTAACTGCTGAAAATATAATATCAAATCAATTACTTAAATAAATTTTCATTTGTAACTATATGAGAAGGGTTGTGTGATTCAGTTGTAAATATGGCCAAAATTCCTTCCTAAAATGATAGGAAAAAATTGCAGAAAAAATTATGTATGATGAAGTATAGTTTTCAGAAAAAATTGTGTACACTGTAATTATATTATTGACCCTTCTGCGATCATCTTTGCCACTTATAAGAGTAGAAAAAAATGTATTTTACAAAATGAGAGATTATTAAATGTCACAATTCATTTCATTATGGTAGAAGACTGTGACTTCTAATGATGAATTAGATTTGAACTCAAATTGTGAATTCTTTGTTGCAGGGTGATGTTGAGAAAGATGAAATGATTCCTGACAGAGAAGAAGACATTAGGCCGAGATTTCATAAATCAAAAACACATAGTCAAAAACATATGGATGATAATACTGAGGTAAAAGCATGATATTTTTTATTGCTATAGGTTGCACCGCATGAAAAAACTTGAAACTTATTGTAGAATAATATTGTATCTGTTTTCATTAAACTACTGTTAGGGTTAATTTATTGTTTCTAATTCTTCATTATTTATAATTAAGATATTATGTTGTCCCTTATTAACTGATGCTTGAATTCATTATAAATTTCTATTTATTTATTTCAAATTTTTTTTTTAACTGACCAAAACAGATTGAGTGAACTTTGTTGCTGTTTAATGTTTTAAATTTATATTATTTTCCAGAATGATACTGAATCTGATGATGGATTAGATGATGATTCATCATTATCTGATTGGAATTTAAGTAAGCTATTTTATGTTTTAAAATTAATCTTTTGTTAATGTGAACTTGTGAGTTTTTAATTGACATTGATTTTTTAATGAAAAAATTCCTCTGATTTTCTATTTAAGCTAATTTTTATTTTCTATTAAATTCAAAATGTCTATTCCATGACATTAGTGTAAGCCAGACTAAAATTTTTGCTCATAGTTATTTTCACTAAAAAAGAACAATTTAAAAAAGGTTAACAGATGTATATATATTTTTTTTTTGTGTGTGAAAAGAAAAACTGAAGCACCTTTGTTGTTCATTAAAAACACTATTAATAAAAAAAAAAAAAAAAAATTAATACATTTTTATTATCTACATATTATTAAAAGTGAAAATACTATACATAAAATATATACTAAGTTACAAATTTATAACGTTTAAATACATGAGATATCAGAAAATTAAGACACCTGAAATGTTCCCATACTTTTAACGCTTCATTACATCGTGTCATACTTCTAATTTTGATGCTAAAATATGCATACAACTCTGGCTTCTCATTAATGCCAGTTAAGGGAGGGATCAATTTTATATAAGTTCTGAGCAAATCATCAGGTGTCTCAGTCTTCAGAGAGTCTGTTAAGCTTCAGAGAGTATGTAAGTTAAAAAGAGTTGTTACAGCTAAAACCCCTCTCACTGGAAACTGTGATCACTGGTAGAAAAGCATAAAAATATAATAAATATAAACATTTTCTGGAATCTTGCTAAACATTCCTCACTGTTTAACTTTTCCAGCATCTAAATGAAGTAAGCATTTTCTATTTTGTCCTGCCTGACAACAAAACATTCAATTGTTCATTAAAGAGATTTGGGTTTAAATAAATTGAGAATTTTTTTTATCTCTTCAAAATTTTTTTCTTTAGTTGGAAAACCCAACTGGCCAGCAAATTTGAATCCTGTGAGATTTTCTATTAAATGCAAAATGAAGTGGGTGAGACCTAATCAAAATGCTAGTATGGGTAAGGTATGTGGCTGCATTTAACAATACATTCAGTTGAATAAGAACAATGACAGATCTTTTACCGTTTAAAAAAAGGGGTTATTTTGGCACCTGTTTAGAAGAACCCTGGTTGTAAAGACAAAACCCTTTGTAGTCTCTAAAGCAGTCTAATCAAAGGTTGAAAACCTTTGAATACTCCATAGTCACTAGAATCCAGTCATTGTCTAGAAAACGTAATTATGATTTGCCAAAGCTGTAGTTAACAGCTCAGCCGAAAATTGTATAGCTGAAAAGGGACTGTATTTTACTTCAGTCATTTTCAATGCGAACTATGCACAGAGAATTTCTGAGGTGATCGGACGCCTGTCATTTCTTCAGCAACATTTCTTATTAGCTCAGTACAGTGTCATCATTTTTTTTTTTTTTTTACATTTTCTTTACATTTTTGCATCTGCTAACTTTATTTTTCCCCCTCAATTTTAATCTTGTTTAATTCTTAGCCTCTTGGCATGTTAAAAGTAGAATGTTCTGAATTTCTACATATTTCATTCTAATTAGGGGTTCTAATTTTTGTGATGCAAATCTGAAACTGATATTGAATTGCTCAAAAATTATAAATTTTTACTTATGTTCTTCAAACTATTAATTAATTTTGACCTGTTTTCTGGGAAAATTTCTTATTTTTCATACATTTATTATCACACCTAATATATGTTCCCCCTTTTTTATAGGAAAATGTTCCGCTGCTGCATTAGATGTACTTGCTAGTGTTTTTCATGAAGAATTGCTGCATGTTTTGCTTCCTATTTTGAGAGAAACTCTTTTCCATCAAGATTGGGAAATAAAAGAATCTGGAATTCTTGCTTTAGGAGCAATTGCTGAGGGTAAACAATAATTTTTCATTTAAATCCTTTTTTTTTTATTATGAATTATATTTTATTGGATAGTTTTAAATCTCCTACTCATGTTAGAAAAATCCAAGCATGTTTCCATTATAATGAGTGAGTTGGTGCAAGATAGTTTTTTTAAGAAACACATTTGTAAAAACATCATCAACCATCTATTGCAATTAGTTTTTATTCTTTAATCCTCAAACCAACTAAATATTGAATCATGGCAAAAAAGATATGTTTCATGTGTACAATCTATGGCAATGCTTGTTATAAGCAACAATCATGGTTGAAAACAATTTCATACTGGCGCTCCAAGAAGATCAGATACCCACACATGTGACTTCTGATGTTAGTTCCAGCTAATTGTTTAGAGACAAAATGGCTTGTTAAATTTGAGCTTAGCTTCTCCACAAATGTTAGAAACCTGATTGATAGGAAGGTAATTTTATACAGTGCTGTATTGCACATTACATTAAATTTGTTTTAAAAAATTCTTTCTCATTTACGTTTTTTATTTAGTTTTATTATTTATTTATTTTATTGTAACCCTGTTATATATGTTTTGTGTACCTGGCAACTTTGATGCATAATCTATATTCTACATGGCATCGTGCCTGTGTTAGTGTTAAGTAGGAAATATATAGTGAAATCTTTGTGAAAGAATATAGAATGTGTCACTTAAGCTAATTGATACTTGGCAGGCTTTACTTACTCGAAAAGAATGGAAACAGTTGCTAATGTAAACAAATGTCACATTTCAATTACCAATCAGGATTGAGATACTCGCGCTACCTCTCTTGCAAGTATATTGAAGGGATTTGTCAGACTAATTTAGCCATTTGAACTGAGTGCAATTACTGAACTGTGAATTTCTACTTTGTTTTAAGTGACTGTTTGTTACCTATTTTCATGAAATAAATTTTTTATAAATTTGTAAAAAATATATTTATTTTTCAGGTTGTATGAATGGAATGATTCCACATTTACCTGAACTAATACCTTATTTAATTTCTTGTTTGTCTGACAAGAAAGCACTTGTAAGATCAATTACCTGTTGGACTCTCAGTCGATACTCTCACTGGGTTGTGGGACAACCACATGACTCATACCTAAAGCCCCTCATGATTGAGGTAATTTAAAAGCTTTTAATTCTTTTATGTTATTAGTAAATAATAAATAGTTGAAAGCTGAAAGTTAATAGTTTCTTAGAGTGCTATTTTTGAAATGTTTTATGTATATATCACTCTCTCTTTTATTTTAGTCTGTCGAAAATATTAAAGTTTTTTGTCGTTTCTGTGGTGAATATTTTAAATTCATATAATTTATTCATCAATTTTGAATAACATGAAGTTTGGATACTTATTTAAGCTGCACTAATATAGGCATAAAATGCCTATTATATATGCCTATAAATATAGGTCTATTTCTAAATTATACTTTTCTAATATTAAATTAATTGAATTATACTTTTCTAATATTATAATTTTTATACTGAGCAGCAAAATATTGTATATTTGCATTTAAACAAACAAAAATGCAGAAAAAAATTTTATTAATAAAAATTTCACAGAAGTTTATATCTTGTCTTATTGTTAATATCTTATTTAATATTATTCATGATATAATGTTTTTCAAAGGCTTAATAGTTTAAGAATAAATCTATCTTCTTCCTAGAAACCTTAAAGACTTGCTGCTGTCAATTATTATATAGTATTTATTTTAATACTTTTCAACCCACAAAGTTGCTTATGAACAGAAATTATTAAGTAATCTATTCCTACTGGCTGGATAGTTCCTTGATTATTTTGCAAATGCATTCTTTTAATCTTTTCATTTATTTCAGAATTTTTTTTTTTCAATTTCATGCCTGATAGAAAATAGTCATTTTATATATGTGTAGTAACATTTAAAGAAAGTTTGGTGTTTTGAAAACATTAGAGTTAAAGAATTTTAAAAAGTAGAAGCTAAAGGCTTTTTGTATTTTCTTTCATTTAGTTGTTGAAACGTGTTCTAGACGCAAATAAAAGAGTACAAGAAGCGGCATGTAGTGCATTTGCCACTTTGGAGGAAGAAGCATGTACAGAACTTGTCCCATATCTTGCTTTTATTTTAGAAACACTTGTATTCGCCTTTAATAAATACCAGGTATTTTCTTTAATCATATATGTAATAAATATTAAACTCACATTTTATTGATATAGAATTTAATTATTGAAATGTTTTTCAGCATAAAAACCTTCTTATCCTGTATGATGCCATCGGTACATTAGCTGATTCTGTTGGTCATCACTTGAACAAGCCAGTATGTCATTTAAATTACCATTTCAAATGAACACCTATATATGTGTGCAATTTAATCATACTCAAATTTCAAAACTTTTTTAATTGAATTTAACTTTTTTAATTTTTAGGAATATATTAATTTGCTTATGCCTCCACTAATTGAAAAATGGAACTACTTAAAAGATGATGACAAAGATTTATTTCCTTTGCTAGAGGTATATATGATTTTTGTTAAACCTTCATTTTCTACTACTGCATATTGTCTTGATGGCTGTATAATCTTTGGCCTGTGCCTTAAATGTGTCTCAGTATTTGTCTTTGTGATAGTAAAAAATAGGAAAGCCACAATTAACAAATATTCATGAAGTGTCCAGTACAAGTTATCCATAACTACACCTAAATACATCTAGTTACTGATCTAGGTTAAATTCAAGGTTACAAATTTTTTTCTCTTTAGTTTTCTCTTGATTATGACATTAAGTTATTTTAGTTGAACTCAACACCGTGTTTTAGTTGTGGCTAACTATAAAGAGATTATTCACTCCTAATAAAGAAAATACTAATGTATTTTATTTATTTTAATATGCTCATTAAAATTTTTCCCTTTAAATTGCTAACAAAGCATTGCATGTATATTTATATTTTTAAAAATTATATCTATTCTATACATATTTTTAAAAAAATAAAATTTATTCTTTTGAACTTTTTAATGAAGCACCACTTTGGCTGAAGCTGTTGCATGTTTAAAAACTGTATATAGGTTTGGTATTTTTTAAAATATCAATTTGCATTGATTTTCTTTTATGATTTTTCTTTGCATTGAATTTATATTGAACTTTGTTGCTGTTTAATGNTTTAAAAATTATATCTATTCTATACATATTTTTAAAAAAATAAAATTTATTCTTTTGAACTTTTTAATTACTTTGCTGAAGCTGCTGCATGTTTAAAAACTGTATATAGGTTTGGTATTTTTTTTAAAATATCAATTTGCATTGATTTTTCTTTGCTTAGAATATATATATATATATGTGTGTGTCATTTTCTTATCAGATCTTAAGCATTTAAATGTTATGTATTGTAAAATCCTGCTGAATTGAAATTCTAAATAATCTAAATCACTTTTGTTACTGCTGTTTTTAAATATTGACAAAAAAAAACCTGTAAAAATTTTTAAAAAAAAATAATGCACGTCTTTGCTTCAATGTTCTAGAATTAAAAATATGTGGAAGCTATCCAATAATGATCAGCATTTCCTATAATCTTCTTTTTAGTAATCCGAAAAATTAATTCTTATTGGCTGACTTTTATTTTTCTTCCTGATCCATTTCCATCTTTGTTTCTATTGCTATTTTAATTTAAAATGAATGTTTGCTTTTGCCACTGAATTTATTATTTTATTTTGTAATACCCTTCACTGAAATTAGTTTTTAATGGAATCATCTCTTTTTAGTGTCTATCTAGTGTAGCAACTGCATTACAGTCAGGATTTTTGCCTTATTGTGAACCAGTTTTTCGTCGATGTTTAAGTCTTGTGGAGCAAACATTAAATCAGACAATGGTATGTATTTTTGTTGTCAGATTTTATCGATTTGCAGAAATGTAATTTATCAAATTTATTGGTAAAAGAATAATGCAAGCAAATTTAAATTATTTTCAAAAGCTATGAGGACATTGAAAATGTAAAAAGCCCATATATTATAAGTTATTGTTTTAGATAATTATATTAGAGAGCTTAAGAGAATTATTTTAGTGAGGTTTCCTGTGACTTCAAGGTAACTTATTAAATTTTGATTTTAAGGATTCAAAATCTTCCAAATAGTAGAAAGCGAAAGAATCTTTGCTAACTTCTTTTAAAGATATATAATTTTATTCATTATGGTATAAAAATATATAATATGAAAGATTATAAAAATCATATCACCATATTTCTATGATTTATTTATTTTTTTGTTGCAGGAAAAAGATAATTGATACTGAAAAGAGAATAATTGTAGTTAATTTTATAGTTGCAGGCATATTAACTTCTCCAGATAATAGCTGGAAAGGTCTATTAAGATGTTTTTAATCACTGAATTTTGGCATTTGCTTGCATGTATTTATATATTGCAATAGCTGCCGATAATTGCCAAAAGACAAAATCCTACAAAATTTGTTGGAATCAAGCCTGTCTAAAAGTGCTTACACTTGTGCAATTAAAATTAGTGTGTTGTGGTACGATCACATAAAAAATAATGCAACTTCATGAACCTTTTTTTGAAATCAATCGTACTAACTGCCGTAAAAACAGTTGATGAATCAGATTTACACAAGTTCAATTCAAGTACAATTCAGTATTAAAGCTTATGATTTAGAAAAAACTTGTGTTTACTATCAAATTGGCTTGATTACTTGATTACAAAACTGTCTTATGTCCATTAAAAGTTTGCCTAATCACGTCATATTTTATTGAGAAATAATAGTCGAATTGTAAAAAGTACATATTTTTGAGCAAACTATTTTTTAATGTTTTTTTTTTTTTTAAAAAACTTGTAATGGATGATTAAGGAAATTGTTTTAAATGATAATGGTTAGAGTTTTCTTTTATAATAAGAACAAGTTTAAAAAAATATGTAATCTGACATTTAGCTTTAAAATAAAATGAAAATTTTGTAACTATCTCATCATTTAATATATCAATTCTTAAATACTATAAAATAACATGAGGATTTGTACCTCACGCTATCTTTTGTTATTTTAAGCTATTTTTTCCGTAATTTTGCAGTTGATCTTCTGCAGTTTTAAAAATTGGGATTGGTAGTTACGCCCGCTGAAAAAATTTAATTTGGATAAAATTGTGATTAGGATTCTTATGCATCACAGATAATTCTCAATAAATGAGATTATTTACAGGGGTCTGTCCAGGCCGAATTTACTACCGTTTAGCGGTACCTTCACAAATTCAACTTTAGGAAAAACGGTAGTTTCACAAATTCAATTTTGGAAAAACGTTAGTTTCACAAAATACTTTTTCTTAAAATTTCATTTTTGTATCCCTTAAGAAACGATAAATCCATATTTTTGTGTTGATTTCTTAATTTAATTTTTAATTTTTCACAAATTACGTCTAAATTTTCACAAAATTGGTACCTGTCAGAAAAACCTAGACAGACCCCTGATTTAAATCAAGTTATAAAATCAGAATCATAAAAATATGAGTATAGTTAAATTTGATGAATTTGTTTAATTAAAAATATTGTAAAAAATATTTTATTTTTTGTTTAATTTAAGGCCAATGTTAGTAATCCTGATCAGTTTGAAGCTCCAGATAAAGACTTCATGATTGTAGCATTAGATTTGTTAAGTGGTTTAGCTGAAGGTCTTAATGGTCACATTGAATCACTAGTCGTTTCAAGTAATATTATGCAGTTGCTGTTTCAGTGTATGCAGGTAAATTATACTTCTTTCATTTTGAACTTGGTTTAAATTTTTTCTTATTTGTTATCTAAAATAGGAAAGTGTCTGTCTTTATGGTTTTAGGACTATTGGATTCTTAAAAATGTGTGCAATGCAAATATGCGCAATTCAAATTTTAAAAAATTGCTTAGTAATAAATATATTGCTTTTTTTTTTAATCTTATGCGTGTCCGTAAAATGCTATGCCTAATCGAACTAGCCTAGTTAACATTATTCTTAGAAACAAAATTTTATCTGAACCTTAATGAGGCTTTGACCAATATGTTCCCTAAACATTTCTTTCCGAGAACAGCTCATTTCTTCCTGCCTTTTCCTGAGGTTAATTGCACATTTCTTTTTATTTGAGTTTTGTTCTTCACTTATCAATTTTTTTAAAGCTTTCTAAGAACTATTAGTGTGATTTGTCTCGGAATTTTTTTTCTATCATAAAGTGTTAAATTAAAATATTAATATAAAGAACAGAGAACTAATTACAGGTAGAAAAAGCCACACTGGTGATAAATTAAGTTTCTGACTTCAATAATTAGAATGGTAAAACGAAAATATATTTTGACGAAATTGTTCTCGTCTAACTTTTAGTTTACTCTAGGTATTTAAAATTTCATACTCATTATCATTTATTGTGCGATTATTTTTCTAAGGAGGATAAACTAGTTTACTGGTTTAATAACGTGTAAAAAATAAAGGTCAAAAATTTGTCTTCTTAATGGCAGACTTTATACTTTATTCCCAGGCATTTTGTTCAACCTAAAAAATATTCTTAACAGTTAGAATGGTTAATAATTTTCAAGTATTTTATTATAATTATCAGATTAATACTACTTGTATTTTTATGGAACAGAATTTTACCATTAGATAGTGACCATTAGATCATGACTGTTTTGATTTTTATTGTCTATAGTGCCACTAGACTTAGTAATAATAGTGTGCTTGTGGATATGTATAGTGTGCTGTCACAAGAGTATTAATAAATCAGTAATTGTTTATTTTTACTAATTCTAAATTATGGTTTTTTTAGGATTCAATGCCAGAAGTAAGACAAAGCTCATTTGCTCTCTTAGGTGATTTAACCAAAGCCTGTTTTCAGCATGTTAGTCCCTGTATACGTAAGTATTGTGACTAGTTGTAATTTAAGTTTTGTTTAGTATGTAATTTGATTTATTTTTTTTAAAATATTAAAACTGTTGACATATTTTATCCTTTTCATATCCTCATTGATTTCTTTTACTTTTTCATATTACATTATTCGTACAAATTACAAATTTTCGTTAAATAAAGCTTTTTAAGGTATGTAAAAATGTGTATAAGCTCTTTTAAAATTTAATATTTTCTCCTTTTTCTTTACGTTCTATGTAAGAATTATACTGTACCTGTGAAATATTTTTACCAACATAATGTTTCTAAAGTTTTTTTTTTCTATGGGAATAATATATCTAGGTAATTGACTATGTATATTTTTAATTCCAGAGGATTTTTTGCCTATATTAAGCCAAAATTTGAATCCAGATTTTATATCTGTTTGCAACAATGCCACATGGGCAATTGGAGAAATCTCAGTGAAGCTGGGTAAGCAAGGTATTGTTGTGTAACGCTTTTCTGCCTTCTTTTACTCTTGGTTCTAAGTTTCATTTATTAAATAACATTTTTGGTTGTGGTTAATTAGATAATTGTTATTATTTCTATGTTTTATTTCTTCTGTTAGTGTGTAGTTAAATTTAACTCAAATATAAAGTATTTATATTGTTTGCTAATACCATAAATTAAATGATTTGATTTAAAATTGTGAGATGCACCAAAGTCATGCTATAATTAAAAATAAAATATGTTTACACTCTCTATTAATACTCTGCGAAACAGAACACGTTCATGCCTTCGGGCTAGGTAAAGCTCTGCATTCTGTAGAGTTATCTATTTGCAATAGATAACTTTTCTGTAAAAGATAAATATTTTTCCATAAAAGACTTCTCCAAAAATGCAATTGAGACTTTATTTGAAAGGAAATAAGATTTACTTAAACATGTTTAATTATATTTTACTCAGATGTGGGTATAAAATAATTTCTGTAAATAAGCAAAAACAAGTATTGATTGCTACAACATCGCAAACTAGTTAATTAAAATTCTCATTTATCCTATATAAGTGAATTTTAACCTGTTATGACAGTAAAATTTGTTCCTGATATTGTTCAAATTAATGAGATGGTTCTCATTTGAATTTCAAAATTATGTTACATTTGAAAAATAAAATATGGAGATGTTAACTGAAACTTATCCATGTCTTTAACTATATACTCGAACTAAGATGTGCGCACTTAATCTTTCTATTCCAGTGATCTTGTTATTTCAAGTAAATGTCAAGAATATTTACTTGATTTATTTACAATACATGCTTCTTTGCTAGTCCTGTGTAAGATATTAAACAGTGCTCTCATTGGTCAAGAACAGAGAAAAACCTTTTAATTGTCAGGAGAAATTCGGCACCATACCGCCGGGCGTTGCATTGCTTTAACAATCAACAATTACACAACACTTTCCACAGGTAGCATATTTGAGCTCCTGCTCGAAGGACCACTATTGTCGACGCTTAGGTAAATATGTACTCGCTCAATAAACAGAAATAAGCGGACTGTAATTTTGCACAATATTTATTTATTAACCCTTTGACGGTCAGGTAAATGAGCAGTTTTCGTTTCATTAATTTGCGCAGTATTATGTCCAAACAGTAGTCGAAAGTGGCATCTGTTTTCCACATCCGTTCTTCCGAAAATGTCACCCTTCTCTGGTGATGCCAACTGCTCCGTCTTCTGGAATTGTTATAATATAGTGGTAGCAAATTATGTAGTAAATTTCGTTGGAGAAGGACAGTTACGCCTATTTTATAATAGAGTAGCCAGTAGATTGTTGCGTTAACGTTGCATTTTATATGTTACTTATAGTTTTTGATGTTTAGTGGTGAAAGAATTACTTAACAGGAAAAATACTAAACTGAAAGTAACTTGACTTTCGCTATCACTAGGAAATACTATTTTACAAAGCGGAGCAAGTTAGCATCTCTGGATGCGGTAGATAGCTCGCCTCAGGCGTTTTAAAAATTTCTTAAAGTATTCGTAGTACATAAATAACAGTTTTTACGTACTTTTCGTTTTTAACATAGTCAATGCTGAATAATAATGGCGAACGAGCTCAGCTCGTCAGCGCGCATTGGGGAAAATTTTCACTATGCGAGTAGTGCTCGTTACTAACCATTACGGTCAAAATCTTACTCCCGAGCGGAACTCGTTTGCGCACATTATGAGGCATGATTCGATTGCGAGCTGAACTTGTTCATAACCGTCAAAGGGTTAATATTTACAGGGTTCCCGCGGCCTTGAAAAAACCTTGAAAAGTACTTGAATTTCATTTTGATTTTCAAGGGTCCCTAGAAGTACTTGAAAATGATATTAAATCCTTGAAAAATTCAAAATGACCTTGAAAAGTATCGAAAACTCAGGAAAACAGCCCTATTTCCAGCATTTCTGTGTTTAACTTTTTGACGCACTCAAGTGTGAGAGAATGACTTTCCCGCCTTTCAGATGATGACACGTACTGTTTGATATTAAGATTTTATGTATGTTTGGCTGATTTTAGGAATTTTAAATATTGGGAAATGCGCCATATTCTGACAAAATCTCAATTCTTATTCAGGCAATTTTAATATCAATCATTGATCTTCGTATTAAACTGATTTAAAAGCTATGTGTTGCAATTCGTTTTCGCGTGATTCAAAAATTGTACTTGCAATTCCCATTAAAGCAATTTAAAAATCTAATATCACGATTTGTACTTAAGCGTTTTTAAACCCCAATATCGCGATTAGTTTTTCCACAAGTTTCATTTTGCAATATCAAACATCGATGTTGTAATATCAAACATCGATTTTCGTATTTATACTCTATTTGAAAACTACTCGTTACGATTCGTGTTCATGTGACCATGTCAAGTGCGTATGATCGATGCTACTGAAAAAAAATTAATTCAAGTATGAGTGGTTAATTAAAACAGTCAAAGTGACCAAAATTGTTAGTAAGAATCTATCAGAAGATATTGAGGTGAAAGTTGGCAACTGATTCAATTTAAAATGGTTGACCCGTAATAAATTTAAAATGATAATTAAGCTGCAACATCCAATAATCGATTAATTTTCTTTAATAGAAAAGTGGTCAAAATTTCAAAATTATATTTAAGAACAATTTAAATTTAACTGTCTAAATGCTTCTGCCACTTTAAATATTGAATAAAAATCTCCCGGCAGAGTTTTTAAATATCTAATTGATATCCCGTAATACATTACGGGACATACAATACATTGATATCCCGTAATACATATAAATATATTAAATATCTAATTGACCCGTCCTGCCCGAATTTTTGCTTATTCAGAGGTTGTATACCTAGCTTAAAATAGGCCTTGTGCAAAATTCAAATTTGACATTTTTATGAATCATGAATTTTATTCTTGACTTGATGCCAATCACCCTTGCTTTTTTTATACTTAGATCACTTTCCGAAATCAAGAGAGCAATGGAAGTCTTATTTTTCAGTACTGCTATTATCGACTGTCAACTAACTATTATCGTCAAAACATTTTACTTTAAAATGTAAAATTTTAGTCTATCTTTTACTAAAATTTAAGTCCTTGAGAATTTTATAATAAGTCTTAAAAAGTTCTTGAATTTTATTTTTAAAGTAGAGCATGAACCCTGTATTTAGAAGAGAGCTTTTTTGTAGCTCTTTACGGCTCTCCTTCCACACACACACACACACTCTCTCTCTCTCTATGTTACATGTTTTTTCTAGATGGCGCTACAAATCCGTGCGGATACACAAACCTCGAAATTTCCTATATTATACCTCAATAATAACTAGTCTCCAAATCGTCAGTAACAGTAATCAGTTATGGAGTTAAATAGTTCTCTCAGTTATTACAATTATTTGTTGTAAAAATTTCAAAGTTCAGTGAAACTTCCATACCTCCATCCTCATTCGATGATATTTTTTTCACTCTAGTCTACTATTTGACCTAACAAATTAAAAATCAAGATCTCATGATGAAAATTTTGCTTGGTGTTGCAATTTTTTTACACAAACCTGGAAAATTCTTACATCATATCTCATAAATAACCAGTCTCCAAATTGTCAGTAACAGTAATCAGTTATTGAGATTCGAGTTAAATAGTTCTCTCAGCTAGTGCAATTATTTGTTGTAAAAATTTTATAGTCATGGAAACTTCCATACCTCCATCATCAGTCGATATTTTTTTTGCTCATAGAGTCTATTATTTGACATTACAAATAAAAATCAAGGCTTGGTGTAAATAAAAATAAGGCCTGGATTTTCATTAAAATTTAGTTGGAACCCTATTTAAGAATAATACATTTTTACACTGCTATTATATATTGAGAAATAGAACTGATTTTGTGATGTTCATATTTTGAATATTAGAGGCACATGATATGATCCTTTTATATTAATTTTATGTGCAAGTTGTATAATATCTTTTAATTAGAATTTAAAATTTTATATTAAAGCATTTGTTTTCGTGTGAATTTTCACTTATATTGAAAGATACTTTAAAAATTTTTTTCAGGGCAAGACATGAAGCCGTATGTTTTAATGGTTTTAACACAATTAATCAACATCATTAATCGTCCAAATACTCCTAAGACTTTATTAGAAAATACAGGTGAGCAATTTAGCTTTAATACAAGTTATCAATTAATGAGGTAAAATTGATAACTTTGTTCAGTATTTTATTTACTTCGCAATCAGACGATTTCATACTAAATTCTGATATGGAAAAAAGTATGTTTCAGATATTAGACTTAATCATTCAGATCCAGTCTAAATTTTGTATATAATATAATAAGCATGTTGTTCTTTACTGTCGTTAGCTGCAACATGGATGTTTATTTTCTCTTTTTCTGTGTGATATTTAGATTTTTAATTATTTCTTTGAACTTTTTATTATTTTAAATTACAGTTTTAAAAGTTTTTTGAAAGAAATTAGTATTTATTTTATTTTTATGCATTAAATGTTCAGCTGTATTTTAATTATGGACCTTTCTATCTGCAAGTTCATCTAATTTTTTACAAAAATCGTTTATTAGATTTGTTCTATTCCTTAATTATCAATATTAACTTATCTTATAAATTGTTTCTTATGTCTCTTCAACAAATACTGTACGAAAAACAGAAAATTTTCAAAAACCTTTTTAAAAGTATTTTAAAGAATAGTTTACACTAGGAGAAAAAGAATAAATGTTTAAGCTAAGTGCTATAGAGAAATCAAAGATTAAAGGAATATTTTATATAAATGAGGATCTTGAATTAGAAAAGAACTTGCAGACGATAACATAGAGATAAAATATTTTGATTTTAGATTTTAAATTAAGCAGAAATTATCAGTATTCTAATTTATTACTGATTTGATTTGAAAATGCTTAAACCAGTACTAGTAGAAATCTCCCAACTTTTTAAGCAAATTGAATTTTTAAGCATTTATCTAAAAATAATTTCATGCAAAAAACAAATTTTAATAATTTTATTTTTTTATTTTATTTATAAAATTTTTTCTATCCTTTTAAAAACTAGTTTTATATAGCAGAATATAAAATTTGAATGAAATTGGTCAAATAGTACCCAAAAAATCTTATTTTCACTGTCTGATTTTTAAAATTCAATTTTTCAGGAACTAGTAAGCCAATTTTGTTCAAACTTTATATTACACTGTATAAAATTATATTCTTTAAAATGATTTTTAAAATTAGTGTATTTTACAATTCAACTATTATAAAATAACTAAAAATAATTGTTTACAACTATTTTTTTACATAGGATAGCTTTGGATAAGGATAATTTTATTGTTTGCAAAATTAATTCCCTTAAAAAGCTCTCTATTTTATGGTGAAGTACACCTAAAATATAATTTATGAAAGGGGGCTAAACTTTCAACTGCTTTCCTGACCAAACTTTTGGCACTATATTTCAGCAATTGCAGCTGCCCTTTATATTTTGAGGATAAGAAATCAAATCCATTGAAAGAAGTATGGTTATTCAGAGAAAGTATGTTGTGTGTCTGTTTTCTTAACTTAAAATATCTTCAGCATTAATTTGAATCGAGGTTACCCCCTCGAACCATTGAGATTGATTTCTAGTACATGAAAATCGGATCATTTGATCAAAAGTTTTTTTCTTCTAAATTTAATTTGGAGTTTTGGTTTCAACAATTTTTGTTTTAATTCTAATGATACTTAATTCGAAAATTTGGGTATTTATTCCTCATCTTTTTACTAGTTGTCTTAGAGTATGTTATATCAAAAATTGTAAATACGCAAATATAGGGTTTTGCGAGCCCAACTTTTATATTAGGTCTTCACTTAATGCATTTGTTTTAAAAAGGTGGGAAAGGTAATTTAAAAAAGAATTTTTTTTTTTTTGAAGTGCTACTATTGAATTTACAAAGAATAAACTACCAAAAATTATAAATTTTCTGCAGATAACTAATAAATCTAAAACATTAATTATTTTATATTACTAAAGTATTAAGAAAGGTGCATAGTTGAAATATGTGTTTCATTACATTTATTTTATATAATTATTATTATTGCTATGTTATTAATATTTTTTGGCTTGTATGTTTATGAGTTGTTCTTGGCTTTTTTCTCCCTTTTTTGCACCCTGTCTCATCTTGTTCAGCCATAACTATTGGGCGCCTTGGTTATGTTTGCCCTGCGGATGTCGCCCCTATGTTACAGCAGTTTATTCGCCCCTGGTGTGTAAATGTTCTTTTTTATTTATTATTTTTTAATATTATTTCTCTATATTTTATACTATGTTCTTTTGTAGTAATTTTAAAGTAGAGTTCTGGTAATATTATCTAATGATATTTTCATTTTGTAACTAAAATTGTCTTTATTTTTATTCATTTATGCTTTGTAGTTTAGAGGTTTATTTTTATTATGAGGAAAATTAATTTTCATATTTTGTTACTAGTATATTATTGGGTTATTTTCTATGATTTGTTAAAACATAAAGTGTTACTTTTTATATGTTAGCTTTGCAGATGAGAGTATAAAACAATATCCTGGAAATTTAAGGGAAAAAAAGGATTCTTCTCCCTTTAATCTAAAAAGAATTTTATGAAAACATTTTTTTTCTTCAGAAACTGTAATTAATAGCTGAATAGAACAGGAAATTATGTTCATGATACTCATTGTAGATTAATATGGAGGAAGAAGGGTACCCTTAAGGAATTATTTTTTTCACAATATTAGAGTAGTCATATGTTAAATGACCTCTAATTTTGTCAATTTTTGTTTAATGTTTTTAATTAATCAATGTATTGAATGAAAATTACAGTTTGTATTGTAGCAAGTCAAAGTGTAAGAAATCAGTATTTTTTTTTATAAATAAACCTACATTATTTAATTTTTTTAAATCAAAATTGTAAGTACTGAATAATAACTGGGAGAAAACAGATTCCCTACGAGTCATTACTGACTTAAAAAAGCACGAAATTGGCAAATTCACATCATCTTGTTATATTAATTTTTTCCCATGATCCCATGAGGTGAGTTTTTAACTTCTGTTAAACTTTTAATTTAAGTTTGTTTATATGCTTCAGGGTGTTTATATTTAACAGGGTTTATTATATTTAACAGGGTGGCCACCAACCTGGAAAACCTCGAAAGCCTGGAATTATCAGGGAATTTTTTTTATACTGGAAAAAACCTGGAAAAATCAGGGAAATATGGATAAATATTTGGAAAACCTGGAAATTTTTTAAAAAAAAGCTGGAATTTTTTTCTTATATATTTTTTTAATTTCACTAATTTAAATTATTTGCTAATTTTCTTAATTTAAATTGTTTCATCCATTATACCCACATTTTTTAGACGGAAATGTATCTCCAAACAGTTAAAATATCATCAACTTACTTTGCTTTCATCAAAATTTGCTCCATTATAACCCTGTTAAACTAGAATACAACATAAAATTCTGCAATTAGGAAAGGCAAAGATTATGGTGGATGTGGAAGACAGGGTTAGGATTCGGTTTTTAAATTCTGTCCGTGTTCACACAATGATTCAAGTTTGTTCGCAATTGAGAGTGGTAATTTTTTTCTATTTTGACAAAATGAGTCAAAAAGTATTTGTATTTTTAACTTTATTAAATTCTCTAAAAATTAGTTGGTTATAATTTAATAATAATAGATTTTATATTGCACTCTTTTTCTGAAAGCTTTTGAACTCCCATTCAAAGAAATCTGCAAATTATTTTTTTCTCAGCAAGCCAACGCATTCCCCCCCCCATCACTAACAGCAATGTTTGTCGACAAATTGTTACAATTCTTGCATTAATGCTAATTTTTTCTATTTCATTTTAATCTTTTATAGTATATTTTTATTTTGAAAAAAGTTTTTTTTTAGAACTAATTATATATTAATATCAAATTTTACGGTTTTGTTGGTAAATATTAGTTTTTTGATTCTAAATTCGAATCGCATAGTTATCACAATATCGAAAGTTCGTAAATGTTGCTTGCATTCCAGAGATGATATTTCAAAACTATTCCTCTTTTTACCTAAAAAAGCTGACAATGACTTAAGGAATATATAGTAAACATATTAAATGATGTATATATGTAAAATAAGTTTTTTTTTATTCATGTGTGTTTAGTCAGGAGAAGGAAAACGAAACTTAGTGTTTTAGTTCTGCACTGTACAAGATTCCAGTTGTTCAAACAAAAACAATTTACTATGCTGAACTAAAAAACTGTGTGTTTAGATTGGAATTCTTTAAATGTTTTAATTTCAAATAAGAAAAAAAATCAAAAAAGTATAAATTTTAAGGAATTTTATCTATTTTTTCTCTTCTATAGAGTATAGAACTAAAAATTAGACAATTTTACATTTCTGACATTTATTTTTTTTATACTGAATCTCTTAAAATAAAAATGCTATTTCAAAATACCATTATTTAAAAATTTGACTTGAGATATTGGTTTAAGGAAAATATGATCAGTGAATTTTATAAAAAGCACTGGTAAGATGAAATACAGTATAATTCAGTATACAGTACAGCTTTATATTGAAATGTAATTACAGTGATTCACAAAACTGTTGATACACTTATGACTTGCAATGAAATAAGACTATCCATTAATTAAAATGAATGTTTCAGAATGTATATTTAATGATAACAAATGTGTCTTAATCTTAACAAAACTGAAATATTTTGAATGACAATATGAAATATTTTAAAAACAAAGGAAAAGTTTATTTTTAAGGAATCAATCATCAAAAAGTGAAAAAAACTTTATCCCACAAAAGTCATCATACACTTTTAAAGAAAAAACTCAGTCTATTAGTAAATCTAATTTTTCGTTAAAATAACATTTAGTGGAGTTTCCTTTAGCATCTACAATAGCTTTTAAAGGCTGAAAATACGTGTAACTAGTTTTTTTTTTGTCAGGTGAAATTCGTGCAGAATATTTTTTAAAATTTTTTACAGATACTTTTACACTCAATTGCAATTTTATGAATTTTTCCACAAAATTTATAATTTTAATCTCTGGTATGAAGTCCTTCTTTTAAGCATTTTATCACATATTGCACAGTTCAATTGAATACAGTAAACTAATTTAACATTCATTACTGATTTACCTCTTATGAAGACAAATAATCAAATTTGGTCTGTTTTATTACGACCACAAGTCATTTTTAAATGATAAAATAAAAAATTACGGAGTTAGCAAGCAAAAATTAAAATATAATTTTAGTATTATAGGTTTGATACTAAATTGCTAATAAAGAAATAAAAAATTAAATGAAAAATAATTAAATAAAAAAAGCAATTGACGATAATTTTAATTCTGAGATCCAAAACATTTAAATGTACGATGACTTTCGTGGGGTAACATTTTTGTTACTATTTGATTAAAAAATTAACTTTTGCTTTGTTTTTAAAATATTCCGTGCAGTTTTGCTAAGAATAGATTATACATCTTATTATCAAATACCCATTGTGAAATATTCATTTTAATTATTGAATTTTTATTTCCTATTTCAATATAAGTGAGCCACTGTAATTATTAAAAATTATTGATATATAATCACCTGAAACGGTTTTCTTTTCCTTAATGAAAATATATTAAACAATACTTATCCAAGGTTTTATTGGTTATTCTGATTTTGTCATTTTGTAGGTACACTTTGTGCAAATACTACTTAAAGTAACACATTAAATTCAATAAAAACAATTAAAATTATTCAATAAAAACAATATATTCTGCAAGCTAAACATATTATTTTCTCCACGTCTTAATTTTTTAAAAATTTATGTTGTATCAGAACATTAAAACATCTTGTAAAAAAATTAATTTTTTTTCAAGATATGTTTAAAAAAATGACATTTTGAATAAGATATTTTATAATACAGACACTTTTCTTGTACACATCCTACACTTTATAAGAAAAAAGGAAAAAAACACAAACCTGGAAATTTTAAGATTTTTACCTGGAAAAATCAGGGAAATTTGAAATCTGTTTTGAGTGGCCACCCTGTTTAACATGATACTTGGTAGGATTAACAATGTTAATGTATTTTTAATACATTAAAATTAAAACTACTTATGTTGAATAAAATGCAATAATTTATGTTTCCAGAATTTAGATAAGTTTATTACTAAATTACTGACATTAAATAAACATATTGAAATTATTGAACATATTACCAAATTTGTATTGGAAAAGTGAGTTTTTGCCTACCTAGCCATAAATTAGTTTTTGTTTATAAAGGGGGAATGACATGCCCATTGAGTAAGTTTGAAGTGGTCACTTTTATATGCATCAAAATAAGGTTGGCCTTTGAATGTAACATTAATTTTCATAACCAGAATCTATATTTTTTGGAATAAAATAATAGAAAAGAGTGGGGATGAATGATAAACAATTATAAATAAAGTTAGATAAATTTATATTCAGTAAAGTTAACAGAGTGGTCACAGATCAGGGAAATTTTAATGGTGTGGAAAATGAGGAAAATTGAATCAAAATAATAGTTTAAAAAAATCACTTAAGTACCTTAAGATCAAATTAATTCCTTAAGTCTTAATATTTTTGGCAAAAAAAAGAAAAGTATAAATTGTAAAAGATATTTTCTGATGCTTGGTTATAGTTCAATTTATGATAATAATTAGGTATCAACTAAAATCCTTTTGCTTCATTAATGCATTTGTTTTATCAATAATTTCTCACATTGTATAAAAAATTTTATATTTAGATAGTTAAAAAAAATTTTTTTTACCAAGAAGTTGATTTAACATTTATTAGAAAGTGATGCACCTATAGACAATTAAAATTATACTAACTGATAACATATTTTTTTAACAGTTTTTCTAACAGCATATAATGAAATAAGATTTAAATCTTCTATTATCTTTTAGTGCTATCTTTATCTGAATTTTTCGCATAGTATATTTGGTTAGTTTATGCTTGTAGTTATATTCTGCTAAATTGTCTATTAGTGTTTTGTATATATTTTACATGTGTTAAAATAAGGCAAAATTGAAAGTCATGATTTAAATTTTTCAGTTCTGCCTTAATATTGTAGTGCTATGCTTTCAAAAAAAAATTTTCAGTGATATATTTTGCCGAATTTTTTTTCTCGATTTAAATATTTATAATAGTTATATATTTATACATAGACACAATATATATGCAATGAAACCCTGGTTTAGTGGTCCGTTTTGTGCGTTATCCTACTACCTGT